AGTCGACCAGAGCGCTGTGCATGTTTTGGAGGGCATCATCCTTCTCGAAGTAAGAAGACGCATCGTTTCCAGAGGTTCGGGCGGCGTGGCGGGTGCGATCAAGGAGAAATTGACCGCGATTCTTGTATGCGAGGAAGAAAGCCTGGGGAAGACTGCTGCCAGTGGTATCAACATCGGTGGATTGGAGGTCTAGGCTGCCGGCGAGAGCGGAATCGGCTAATAACTGATCTGGTTGTCTTTCTGCTCTGTCGTACTCGGTGGAAGCCTCGGGGTATTTGAAGATTTCGGACTTGAAGAGATCGTCGTAGGCGTCGGAGGCTTCGTCGAAGAATCGAGGGCCTTGAGCATGCAGCTTCAGGGCATTTTGGAAGCGTTTGAGGGCCTCGTCGACCTGGGAAGGAGATTAGTATTGATCGGGATATCGGGGCGAATAATTGGCGCGTACATGAAGCTCGCGGGTGGTGTCGACCTCATCATCGGAGTTCTCCTCGGCTTCGACGTTGATGGCTTGGAAGGCCGGCTGGGTGCTGATATTAGCTTTGGTCGCAAGGGCGAATCGTGAATGACATTCGATAGACGAACCATGTTGTCGGTAGGGTCTTGCGACCGGGTTGATTGAAACGGCGCTCTACTTTATATAATGACGTGGGATGTTCAAGACGATGTGGTTCAGGGCGAATGCGCAGCCATAATGACCTTGGGGGAAAATCGATGCGCGTGGCTGCGAGGACTGACGCGACCAGAGTTCAGGAACGTTAAATTGGTTGCTTGTACTCCGTAGCTGTCGGTACGTATCGCATTGCTCCAGACCTATCCAGGTACAGCTATGGATTCCTGGCTCACAGGGCACTTGCAGCTTTCGCGTCAGACTCTTGCCCAGGGTCAGCTCCCGGCATCCAACTGCAGACTCCCTGATAGGCTGGTAGCGACACCTCAAGGTACCTTACCTCACTCTGTACCTTGGTCTGTAGTGTTAGTACCTACTCTGTGACCGTACGGAGTACAGGACAATGAGACCCAAGGCCCAGGGGTTAGGTTATTCGAGTGTCCGTGCAGCCATTTCTAGCAAGATGTCTTACGTAAGGACTCAACTCGATACAAGCTGGCACCTCAGGAACATGGCAATGCGGCAAACTACCCTACTATGTACATATGCGTTGGACCCACTCGGTCCAGGCCCCGGCTACGTTTGAGTCCCGCCGGCCGTCGAATGGAACTTGGCTTGGAAAAGCGCCCGTGGTCTATCCGTAATTAAATCGTGGCTCTTTGGCGGCCGGCCCTGTCAATCACCTCCAGCAAAGCAGCTCCATCTGCTCTCCATCCCGTCTGTCCCCTGCCAATGACAGAACTCAACTCCCTGTCACTTGCACAACGTCAATCAATATTGAGGTGTTCCAAGCTGGCAGCAGGTTCCTAGTCCTGGACTCCTGGCACACATCAGGTACGGAGTACATCAGGTAGGTACGAATACAGAAAGTCGTGCAGTCCAAGCTTGCCCGCAGCGCCTGCTGTCACTACCTTACCTTACCTCCCGTGCTTCCTTCCCAGAGTGTCCCATTCACGCCGCACGCCGCACGCCGCAATCCCACCTCCAATTCCACCTTGCACAAGCTGGGCCCTTCAATCCTCCATCCCTCGTCAATCTCACCGACCACACCTCGAACCGCCTCCGATCACCAACACATTCATCCCTCTACTCCCAGCCATCCTTTCGAGCGTGCGGGCCAGAATCGCTCATAAGCGCCTTCTCCTGCGCGCACACATGCATCGAATCGCTAGCTCATAACACCGTATCCAGTCCATCCTCATCGAGAACATCGCTTCCACATTGCGCGCCGTCAAAGCTTGACACGCAACAACCGCTGCAATGGTTGCGCCGGCTGTGCCCGAGTAAGTCTACCATCCTCCTTCCATCCCTCCACTGCTTCTTATTCTAATCCATTTGGCAGGCTTACCGAGGAGATTCTCTCTGAATCAATTGAAGCCCGAACCGAGTCCCTCATCTCCCTTCGCGAGCTAGGCCCTCCCGACCTTGTCCATCTCCTGAAGCAGGCCACGAGAAACCCTGGCAAGCAGGTACATGATCATTCATATCCGACCAACCTATACCTGTGCTAATCAGCATCCTCTCGTAGATCGGAGTCTACCACCACGTCACCGGTGTCGACGCTTCCTCCTCGGCCAGTCTTGCTGCCTACATCAACACCCTGACATACCGCGAGCATGGTCAGGCTGTGCAAACAAAAATCTCGGAAGGTCTCTACTGGTATGTGGACTTCTTCCAGATTGAGCTCAAGTTCAAGTAGCTAATCCACTGCTAGCTGTTACAATGCCTTCTCCCGACTCGACATGCGAGTCCATGTAACCATCCCTGGAACCGTCGAAAGCTACTGCGTGGACGAACGAGGCGAGAAGCGGAAGGCGACGGATGACTTGTGGTTGGAGACCTACCTCTGCAGCGTCCTCCGAGCCTACTCCTACGCCGATGACGGTAGCGGAGAGACAATTCGGAAGATTATGGGTGTGCGCAGATACAACCCTGTTACCAACACCGAGACCGAACACCGCTTCCTTGGTGCCGCCGAGCAGCTCTTCTTCCGAGGTATGCATACACTCTTAAGAGCACGCGAGAATTTCCGAGCTAATGGTATCGTAGGCTGGCAGCTGGGTTCAGACTCTGTCGTTCAAGTGCCGAACAATGTCTCAAACCATTTGACCGCAGGCCTCTTGAAGTACTTCCAGACCACCGGACGCCATGCTTCCGGCATTAACCTCTTCGAGAAACTCAGAGACCAGAATATCGAGGTTTCCTCCCTTTTGGCCAAGGTCCTGTTCATGGGCAACGAGGAAGTCCAAGGCGTCAAGGTCCTGCACCAGGCACTGAAAGAGTCGCCGATGGACTACGTCATGCTCGACACGCAGGCTGAGTTCCTTCTCAGAAAGGCGCAGACCGCCGCAACGCCAGAATTGAAGGAAGAGAGGCTTCGCTTGGCCCTGGGCTGTGCCGACCGCAGTACCATTGCCGCTCCTAGTGAATTCGGCACATGGGCGAGACTGGCGCAAGTCTACGTGGCAATGGAGGACTGGGAGAATGCCTTGACCATTCTCAACTCCTGTCCCATGTTCACATACCAGGATAAGGACGCGCCTCAGATGCCCGAGCCGAAGGATGTTCACCTCCCAACTCTTCCAGAGACCCGCTTGGACGAGATCGATAGCGAACCCGAGTCCAGATACTCTGAGCAGGTCGATGCTAGTCTCCTGAACCTCCGTGCTTCGGTTTATAAGGGAACCTTCAAGCAGGCTTACGGCATCCTAACCGAGATGACTTCCAAGATTGGATGGGATCAGCTACTCAAGATCAGAAGCACTGTGTTTGTCATGGAGGACGAGTACCGCTCCGAGAAGCAGGAAACCTCGCAGCCTCAACGTAACCCCAGCACCGACGGCCTTCGTGGAACCCCAGACCCGACGACCAACGGCGATCGATCGGACTCAGAGAGTGACGACGAGGATGGAGATGAGGAGAAGAAGGCAAAGCCGACAGATACCGATTCCACTGCCGAGACCTTGGCACCAAATGGACAGACAGAGGGTGAGGCTGTGGAGAAGCCTACTCACGCGATTGACCCGGGTGAACTGAAGGGCGACGCAGAACCCGTAAGTGTTCAGCCTTTCCTTATGCTGAAGTCATGTTAACACTGAACAGGGTGCGCAGACCGACGACCATCTCTCTAAGCTGAACAATAAGCGGCTTTGCGAGCGCTGGCTTGATAGCCTCTTTATGGTGTTGTATGAGGACCTGCGCGTCTACACGATCTGGCGCACGCAGATGGCCCAGTATCGCGCACAATCCATGCAGTACAAGAAGTCGGCCGAAGAGTGGGAAATTTTAGGCTCTCTGGCAGAGAGACTCCAACACCCAGAAGAAGCCGTGGAGGCCTATAGAGCATGCCTCGCCGCAAGATTCAGCCCCAAGGCCTTGACTGGCATCCTCCGTGTTTTTGAGGAAGGCAAAAACACTCGCGAGACGGTCGCATCAGTCATTCGTCTCGTTACCTGGCAGTACAGATGGTACTCGGAGTTCTCACCAGAGCTTCTCCACACAGTCCGGACGCTTATCGAGCATGAGGGTGCAGTCAAGATCAGAAGCATCATCCAAGCCACCAGCCTCCCACAGAACGTCCTTGATCTGACCCATCATTACGCTGCGCTTTGCGCCACTTTCCGCAGCAGCGGCACCGACGGTTAGGTTTAGGCTGTTATGAGCCAGGAGCCGAGCCATGAGCATCGGCAACACGGCGTTGATGAATCGGAGGGATTTTGTGGTTCAAGATTTTCAAGCCTAGGATGGGATTTGCAGGATGCAGTTGAGCACTCACATGTTCCCACCATCGCAGCGTGCATCGAAGTCATGGTGACAGCACGCTGTGCTGGTAATAATTGAAAAAAAAGAAATATAGGCCACCCTTAGTTGGGAATCAGGGCTATAACGCAGAGTCAAATGATACCTAGTTCTTCACTTGAGAGAGGAGTTCAAAATGGTCAATGTGATGTGAACAAAGAGATGTGTGCTGGATATGAGCTTACCAAGGAATTCTAGACAGGCCGGCACTGGGCCTCAATGCTTATCGGAGCAAAATGTCCGAACAAATGGAGTATCCCACGACCGGATGCTCACGGAGAACCATTTTGCGTGCGCCGCCGATCACACAGCAAAGCTTTTGGGGGCACTGATATCACTTGTACGTCAAATCCATCAATTTTCCATCTCAAACATGGTTGCATTGAGGGTCTATGGAGGTTTGCACGATAATATGGTTGCGGCGTGACATCTGGGCAGTTCGATGTGTGTCGATGAGATAAAACGGTCCCCACCAGCACCACATTTTGGCGGGTGTGGTGATTTCATCGCACAGTGATGCGTGAGATGATGAAGATGACGTCGCCAGGGTTGACTTCAGATGGCGAGGTTGAATGAGAGTTGACGAGGACTACATAAATCGATGCTTCCGAGCTATCGAAAGCATTCCCATCATTGCAATATCAAGCAAACCCATCAGCCACAGACATCAAACAACTTATATTCAAGTTATCATCAATTCCACTTATACCCAACATTCAACCCACGACTCAAACCATTCCTACAACTACTCCAACATCCAAAATGGCACCCTCAAAGGACCAGCTCATGGAGACCGCCGCCCAGGCCCAGCTCGACATGAACACATACCAATCCAAAACGGGCGCCGCCCGCCCCCAGGGCAACGACGACGCAGGCGTCTCCAACATCCAGACGGAAAACCGGTTCCCCGGCGCCAAGGTGACTGTACAAGGCGACCCGATCAACAACGTCTCCTACAAGCCCGAGCAGCCGCCCAAGAACCCTGCCGACAACGACGACGACGTCGTTCCTGCCAAGAAGATTTCTTCGCTTGGCACGCAGGATCAGAAGGATGATATCCTGCTGCAAGGGGAGGGCGCGGTGAGGAATAATGTGGGCGCGAAGGCGCCTGGCGTTGGTGGGGAGAAGTTTAGGGGGTCGGATTACTATGTTCCTGAGAGTGTGCCGGATAGCATCTCTGCGGAGGGGAACATCGCGCCTGAGAGTGTGGTGCAGGCTTCTGCTGAGGCGGAGAACCCTCGGTAAAGGGTGAGGATTTTGGAGTTGAATTTGGACTTTTTCTTGGTTATGGATTCTGGAAGGATAGCGATATCAGGCATTGTATGGTTGTTATGATCTTGATGTACAACAGTAATGAAGCTGCCAGAAGGCTGTAAACCAAACGCATTTCTCCGCAATGAAAGTTTGACAAGAATAAGTGATGCGGTGATGTTACTCGGGAGGAAGCAAGACATAGATAGGAGCAAAAGCGTCAATTGGGCAAGATGTATCGGACTTAATTTCCTGGTTTCCATCGCGTCGAGATTAGACATCCGAAGACTTGTCACTATTGCACTCAGATGGACATCAGGAAGGCTAGTAGTGCATATAAGGGTTAACCATAACGTGTACAGCAGCATATGAAGGCAAGGTTTTTTGTATCGTGTAAGTTGAAATTTGATATTGCTTCTCATGAATTGCTTCTGCAAGGTATCTTCACCCTCGATCTCATCTTGAAACAATTATGAAATCCGCCAACGCCTCGCTTTTGAATCAATCCAATCCGCCGTCTAAATCTATAATGCGCATGCAATGAGACAAGAAAGAGAATATGAAAGAAAAGGGAGAAAACATGAAAAAAGGAAAAAAAAGCCTCAAGTAGCAGGCTGGTAAACATCAGCAACAAAACGATCGCCCAACACCTCCCTAGCATCCCGACCCAACGCCTCGCTCAAATTATTCAAGAAATCATCAACGGCCCTCGGCCTAGCGCACGCAAATACAAGAGCACAATCCTCGATGCTCTTGACTAGCTTCTCTCGAACGCCAGCTTCCAGCATCGCGTCCTGTGCCCTCCTCTTCTCCTTGTTACTCCCCGTCAGCATACAGATGTCGAGGATGCCGGCTTCGCTTGCTTCCTGCACCGCTTCCCGCACAAGAGACTCATCTGCCGCCTTGAAGCCGGCGAAGAGGCTGATCGCGGGACCCTTGGCAGATTTGTCGCCCGATGATCGAAGACGCCGGAGACGGCTCTGTAGGAGTCCGCGGACGGGAGCCATGCCGGAGCCGGTGGTGAAGATGATCATCGGTTTGTCCTGGTTCTCGGCCATGGCCTGCAGGTGCGACGAAGGACGGATCTTGCAGGTCGCGGCACCAAGGGTCTCGAAGCAGTTGAGGTACTTGTCCGAGAACTTGCCGTTGGGGTGGTGCTGTACCAAAAGGTCCATGGTGTTTCCATTCTTTTGCTTCGTCCTTGATCCATCAGAGGCAATGGAGTATTCCCTCGGCTGGATCGTCGGCATCGCGTTGCACAGCGCATCCAGCGTCACGACCTGCCTCCAGTTCGCAGGAATCTGGTGAACCACATTCTCAATGGGGACCTTGGCCAGAGTCTCGGGCTGGGGAAGAGACAGCCACTCAGCCCACTGCGTAGACTTGAAAGGCTGGTCCAAGTCCGCAAACCGCTGGAAGAATTCTCCCACGGTAGGCTCACCGGGAAGACTCAGCCGCTCGTCAGCCTGCACGCCGAGAGCGCCCAGAACGCGAGACACCTTGTTCTGGGAGTTTGGCGGCAGAATCCAGACGCTGCCCATGGTGGGGTACTCGCGGTCGCCCAGGTCGAGGGTGACCCTCTTCATGCCGTCCGCGGCGGTGCCTAGGACAGGTTGTCCGACGACTTTGGCCTGAAACCACGGACGGGTGTCAAAAGGTCTGACCGGGCGAGCGGTCCGCTGCACGTCACTTGTGTTGCTCTCGTCTTGTGGCGGGCTCGACTTTTGGAGCCCCGCGAGAACCTGATCGAAGAACTGGCCGAGGACGGACCAAGGGGGGTTCTCTGTCGCGGTGTCGGCCTCGCGCATGCCAATGAGTCTCTGGGCGTCTCCTTTGCTCAGAAGCTCCTCAATGTCCATGGCAGCCTGGTTGTAGGTATCGGCGTACTCCAGCGACCCATTCGCAAAGATGGCATACTGGCACGAGATGGCCTTGGGGTTCCTCGCCAGCGCGTCGGCAAAGGCCTTGCCGTTCTGCGGAATCTCACCGCGACCCGTCGTGCTGGCGACGACGACCAGCACGTCATCGGGCTCGACCATGGAAATGGGCAGGGCGTTGAGCGTGCACGGCACCACGACGGACCCCAACTTGGGGTTGATGTCGCACGCGTGCTGCAGCTGCGCGCACAGCCTCTTGCAAAGCTTGATCGCGACGTTGCCCGAGCTGCAGAAGCCAATGTAGATCCTGCGCCCGGGCCCCCGGGGGCTCAACGGCGTCAGGGGCGTGGTGGGCCTGACGAACTGCTGCTGCTGCTGCTGCTGCGAGGGCGGAGGAATGGGGAGGAAGTGTGACGGGGAGGAGGCGGTGCCGAAGGGGGAGACTGGCGTAACGGGCCTGGTGAGGGAGATGGACGGCACCACGGGGATGGAGATGTTGAGCTTCGTGTCCGAGGAGTAGTGGTGAGAAGGCCGCGCGGGGCGGGTGAGTCGTTGCCGGCGCCAGGCCTTGATGGGATCTTGGGCGTGGCGGCAGATCAAGGGCTTCGGTTGGTAGTTTGGCGAGCCGCCGCGATGCCAGATGGGAATGATGGAACCTTGGGGCGGTGCCAGCCAGTACGGGTCAGAAGGGAGACGGAAGCCGTTGTTCATGAGATGCTCGTCATCGAACTGGGCGAATTGCTCGGCCGCGCCAAGGGAATCTGACATTCTGACGCCCGCCTGAGCGAAGGACCAGTATGTGGCGTAGTTGAGCTCGAGCTGCGCGCGGGACTGTGATGTGACTGTTAGCGGATGCATTCTCAATGCGATGAACATGCAAGATAGGCTTACCAACACCGCCAGACGCTCGTAGTCTGGGAGGTCATCTACATCGCCATCGACCAAGCCAATGGCTTTAGCGACCTGCGGAAGCGCGTTGAAGCGGAACGAATCTGCGAGGTTACGAACACCAATCTCGGCATCCATGAACCTGCGGTTGCTTTGTCAGTGGTTGTTGTTATTGACAGCAAGACATGCCAAACTCACCATCCAATAAAGGGCGCCGCGGTGTATTGCACGCCGCCGATGCTGAAGCCAAGACGGCTGAGTGCCGGCGCAGGAACCCAACGCAGGCCAAGGGTCTCGAGCTCGGGGTGCTTGGGATGGCGGATATGCACCAGAGGGAATGCGTCCTTGGGGAGCTCGGTGATGACGGGTTCTTCTCCCTCGGCCATGGTGACGAGAGGGAGCAGATCCCATTGTGAGCGGAAGCGCGGCGGTGTCCAGCCGAGTTCGATGATGGCGTTTGTGAGTTCGACGTTGGCGGGGTCTCCGAGGATTGTGCCGTTTGATTGTTGGTACTTTTGTCGTGTGTTAGTCAATGCTTGTTTCTCACATAAGGGGGAGAAAGACTTACCCCTGCAAAGGATAAGAGTTGTGAGTTCCAGATCATGGGACCGCGGCTGTCAATGTCTCTGGGAGGGAAGACGAAGACTGTCGGGTTGATTTCACCCGAGTTGTAGGCCACTCTCAAGTTCTCAATGAGAGTCTCGGCCATCTTTTTGCTTGTCCGGACATGTCTCAGGTCGCATAGCCTGCCAACAACTATTAGTAAACAACTCGTTATCAGACTTGAAGCTTTTCTCATACCTCAAGTTGCTATACTCTGATCGCATAATGCATTTCCGAGCATGCTTCCAAGCCGTCCGGAGACCGAACTCGAGTTCCTCAAAAGTCTGCGTCCACAGGCCACCCACCAAGCCAACCGTTGCTGCCGGTGGCGCCTCCGCTCCGCATTCGGACGCCGTTGTGAACTTGCCCTCTGTCGAATTCTTTTGAATCTCCTGAAGGACCTCGTGTGCCCGGTGGTGAAGTTGCTCCGTGTCAATGAGACCGTCCTTGTACATTTGCTGGAGAAAGTCGAGCGCATCCTCGCGGACTTGAGTGTATGACTGATTCCGGCCGACGCGCTCCTCGTCCATGTGCGTCATCCGACCCGATTGGCAAAACTTTGTTGTGCAGCCCGTTGAAGAGAGAGAAGGGTATTGTGAGCGAATGTTGGCGAATTCTTGTTCCGCTGAGATTTGCCGCGGCGGCTGGGCGAGTGTGCCTTGAAGGAATGGGCACGCCATTGTGTTGTGTGTGAGTGTATATGTAATGTAAGTTGAAATTTGGTAAAACTGGGATATCGACCCGTGCGAAGTCGAATACTTCTTCGTTTCTCCCCAAGACTTTGAGGGTGCAGACCCAAAGAGGCTTAAAGCATAGAAGTGAGAATAAGGTAAAGTCTTAGTGCATCTGTAGATCGGTGTTATTCCAAGTGCGAGTCAGAGTGGAGTCTTTGAGTGAAAATTGATGATGGCGGCATCGGCATCCAAGCGAATGACTAAGTTTAAGCGCCAGTGTGGTTGTGATGATCTCCAGACGGGAAAGCCAAAAACAAAAAGAGTGGACGAACCCTCCAACTTTATAATACTCGAAAAACCTCAAACAAAGGAATTAAGACAACAAAACTCTGAATGTTAGGACGACTTAGTGCCAGAGAGAGCTGAGCCCTGCCGTGGACGCTCATCTTCCCAGGTTTTTGGCTTGCATCACCCCCCCGTCTGATATTGGACACACCGGTTCCCCTTCCTTCTGAGCAGCCACATGGGCCGCCTTTTCCTCCAACAGGATGATGGCACATCAGTCAACCTCGTGCTCGAGGCAATACATCACAACCCACTATGTTGTGAGGAGGGTAGTACATGCTGTCTCAGGCAGGCTGGTGCAACTCACTTGCTGAATGGCTGGATCCATTGGCAAGGGGGTCGAGAAATGTTGTTCAGCCCCCCAATCAAGGGGCAACTTGGTTATGGTGGTTCCAAAAGCCACCGCAATGTCAACACTCTCGTGTACGAATGTTTACGAAGCATGGGGATTTCCCACACGAAGAGGGAGCAGCAAGCAGTAAACGGGCATGGACTTTGTACGAAAGTGGGGGATGACGGCGATGAGAGCGTCCTAGCGCTGCGATGCCATCTGACATGGAGGGCGGTCTTCGGGACCGATGTTATGAGCTGGCCGAGTGTTGGTGTTGGTGGGGAGGCTGAGTTTGGGAATCTCTCACTTCTCACTTACAACATGCACGGCCGTTTCCCCCTCAAGTCAACCTTTTCCCAAACAAACGGCTCCAAGTCGTCGATGAGGTAGGGGTCTGTCTGGTGTTGTGTTTGTTCTATTCCCTCACTCTCTTTCTCCCAAAACTCGGCCCAAGGACCAGTTACACGGTACCGATCCATCGGAGTACACAGACGTACGGCACCGATTGAGTAGTTATCTGTAGATCACGATCCGCGACAATATACGCAGGAAATGACACAAAGTTGGCTAATGGGTACAACTGACGGCTGACTGCAGCTGACTTCCACGAATCGTTGGGACTTCAGAGTCGCAGTTGGGCGTAAGTCTGCAAACTGCAAAGGAATGTATCCTCCGGACCACTACTTAGCCGGTGCTGAGTGAGGCAATTCACACCCACCAGTTCGTGAAATGTCTCCCATTCGTCGTTAGGCGTGGATGCATCACGAGACCATTGGGCCTCACCCGCCAAGTGTGTGTGTGTGTCTCTCTCTCTCTCCATATTTCTCTCTCTTTCTCTCTCTTCTCGTCTGTCACGTCTTGTCATACGGTCCAATTTATTGCCAATTTCTCCGCGGCCGAATCTTGCGCACGCAACTCGCGTGGCTCGCCAACGCCATTGCATGAGATTCTTCAAGCCATGGCTTCCTTCGAGACCTCAGCCGGGCCTGGACAGTCAGCCCAGTTGTCCCCCGTGATGGCTCATCCTGGCCTTCCATCGTTAAAACTGACGAATTTCGAAATGTAACAGAAAGCCTTTTGGAATGTTCTATCGAGCCTGTGGCGTGTCTCTGCTCGGAAGCCGGTTGCGAATTTCGTCCCGGAGGCCACGAGGAGCCGATGGAGATGTATGGGAATACAAGAATACAAAAAGTATAGTGCGGCGCTGATCTAGAAGGTCTCGAGTTGGACGAAGGCGAGCTATCGAACGTGAATATCGCGTGGAGGCCATGCCTTTCTACCCTTACTTGTTCGCCTTCTTCGCAGCTGGAACCGAGCAGGCTGAGACTCGTGATCCAAGACAGGAGAAAGAAACGAGGCAAAACCTGAGCCCATCTCCCCCTGACCCTGAGGCGCTCGCCTCAACTTTTCAGCAGCGCCTTCTGGAAGACCACATGGCAAATAAGTTAAAACAACAATCCAAAAACGGGGCGTGTTTCGTGCGACGTTGCGATTTGTGGATTTTTCTAGAACAGAGTGAAGCCGCTTCAGAATCAATTCGTTCGGTCGCGAAAGAAGAAGTGTGTCGTCGTTTTCTCTTTCTCTGACATGACATCAAATTGCGTGAAACCAAACTCGAGATGTCAAGGCGGTGGCACAGCATGAAGATGGGCCGCCCCGCCCGGATGAGATCTGCAATACCGAACCTGACAGCAAGCGTTCCCGGGTTTTCTTGCAGGGCAAATCCGCAGTCGGCGGGCTTTGAAAGTCTCCCTTCCTTATTTTGTTGGTGCTGTCCGGTGCTGTCTGGCGTTGTATGGTGGTGCTATTGAGCGTTTCGGCCGATGACCGGCGGCAGTGCAGCTTGACGCGCAGCATCGTTGGAGGAGGCTTCCGAACCGGTGCGACATCGCCAAGACTAGAAAGAAGGGCTTCCAGATGTGAATGACACTCGTCACGTCGTAGAAGTGCAGCAGAGATGCTCAAGGTTCTTGGCTCTCAGAAGCAGCCGAGGGAGTCTTCCATCATCGGTGTGATTTTGGGTTGGGCGCCAGCGAATTCAAAGTGGTGCTACGACTGACTGTTGCTGTTAGCGGGATGGTTCGCAGACTAGGGAGATCGACATGCGCGGACTCCCGGCTAGCTTAGGTACGCAGGGCAGTGTCTGCTTTGGCCATTGCCATGGTCGCTAAGCTGTCGGGCTTTCACGTTGGTTGCGGTTGAATGAAGAAATTAACGACGTAGAAATCATCAGGATGCATGATGAGATGCAGACTAAACGCCGATGTTGCTAGAGGACAAACACAGAGACCGATGACAGAGCTCACATCGAAAGTGGCTTGGCCGGGAACATTCTGATACGTCCTTGCGGGCTACCCATGCCATTATTGGGCTCAACTGAGTGTCACCAAGGAATCCAAATTCTTGACGAAAAAAAGACGTGAGTTCGCAGTTCTGAGTCTACTTGTTCTATCCAAGGCTTTCAATTTTTACTCTGTTGATAGTTAGTGATAGAGATCCTGACGGGTACCTCCATAACAAGGTAAGTGATTGAAGCTACGAACCCATTTCGATCGTTCCGGGGGGCTTCGACGTGATGTCGTATGTGCAGCGGGCGACGCCGTCAACTTCGTTGATGATACGGGTCGAGATCTGGTGAACACAAAGTCAGTGCCAGGGATTCCGAGGCAGGGTAGCGATAGAAGTCAGAGCTAGTCATACCCTCTTAAGGAGGTTGAAGTCGAACTCATAAGGCTCTGCGGACATGAAGTCCAGAGTCTTGACGGCGCGGAGACTAAGGTCAAACGTCAGCTTATTGATCGAAGGAGATGGCCAAGGAGGCGAGAAGGATTGTCAGCAAGAGGGGGGTTCAGTCATGGTAACTTACATGATAATGTAGCTAGAAGGCATTCCAGTTTAGCACATGACTATCGATAAATGCGTTATTCCGAATGCTTACCCGTAAACCTACGAAAGTTAGTCATCTACACTGTTCACATATCAGAAGAGAGAGACATACTCTGGCATCACCTTGAACTCCAACAGCTACAGAGAAATCATTCGTCAGTGGGGGGGACTAGCCGGTATAACAGCAACGCCCGGTAACATACCCTTGTTGGAATCCACAGCAGCATAGGCTTGGGACATCTACAAAATGGTCAGAAACAGTTCAGGGAAAAGCAGAGTTGACACTCACCTCGTTGTAGATTCCGGCTTCCTTGATCATGGAAATGAAGATGTTGTCGGCAGCACGGGCAATGGCGACTCTCTCCGGTGTAACCTCTCCAATAATGCGGATAGCGATCTGACTGGTGTTAGACGAAGGTAGCTACGTATGGTACAGCTGGCGATCTGGTACTTACACCGGGTCCAGGGAACGGGTGACGCATGACGAGATCCTGGTGGATGCCCAATTGTCTGCCGAACTCTCTAACCTCATCCTTGAACTGTTTGTGGGTGTCAGCATGGAAGATGGAGAATACTCTAAACGAGAGCAAAAGATGCAGTGATAATGTTAACGCAGTTTCGTGTCGGCCAGATGGACACGAACTCCGCTTTGTTTACCCCTCTCACTGTCATTCGAGTGTAACTGATCACAGGATGGGAACGGAGGAGGATTTGGGGAAACGAACCAATTCTCTGAGGGGCTCGATGAGTTTGAGCTGTACGAAAGTTAGCCGGAGTAAACAACCAGAAGACAGGAAGCGGGCAAGCGGAGGCGGTGTGGCCCAGCCGCTTCAGAAGAGTTTTTACCTTCATCTTCTCGGGAAGCCCACCGGTGTTGTGGTGAGACTTGATAGTTGCGCTGGGTCCCTTGAAGGAAAGGGACTCAATAAGATCGGGGTAGAGTGTGCCCTGGAGGAACCAAGTGATGGGACCGGCATTCTCGGTGTTCTCGGCCTCCTTCTCCAGTCTCAGGGCCTCCTGCTCAAACAGGTCAATGAATGTAGCGCCGATACTGCTATTGTGTTAAAAAGGTCGATGCATGGAATCAAGTTCACTGACATCTTGCGCTTCTTCTCAGGCTCAGTGACGCCCTTCAGGCGACCAAGGAACAGGTCAGCGCCGTCGGCAACCGTCAGATTGATGCCAAGGTGCTTCTCGAGAGTCTCCTTGACCTGCTCGCACTCGTTGAGACGCATAACGCCTGTCGAAATGGGCTTAGTGAATTATTTTGCGGTGTGTGGTGATGGCTTGCTTACCGTTGTCGACGAGGATAGCGTGGAAGCGGTCGCCTGATGGACGATTAGCCTTCCTGGAATTTCTCTTATCAATCAATCAACCATACCAATGGCTTCCTTCATCAGCTTGGCTGCGACAGTGGAATCGACACCTCCAGAGACGGCGCCGATGACCTGTGCCTTGTCGCCGACAAGGTGTCTGATGCGGATAATCTCCTTCTGGATGAAGTCCTCCATCACCCAGTTGGGTCTGGCGCCGCTGATATCGACGGCGAAGTTCTTCAGGATCTCACTACCGCGAGGCGTCTAAGTTGCCATGTCAGTATGCGTTCGTAACATCGAACCTATGCGGACAGCGTCTGAGCCGGTGATTCTCCATAATAACCAACGGCCCCACAACGGGCGCCTTGCCGATCGCCGAGACAGATTTGCTGTACTCCGCGAGGAATACGCCTCCGTGAGAGGATTGTTGGAAGTATTGTTCAACTTACATGCTCCTGCGAAAAGTTAGTCATATTCCTACAGAATACCAGGAGAAAAGATTGGGACGAACCAGCTCAGGGTGGAATTGAACGCCTGTAGGATTCAGAGTATTCAGTCAGTCAGGCTCCACAGTGTAGTGACGGTAACAGTCGATAGAGAAATGTTGCGTGGGGATGAAGAACTACAAAACGTTGAAGTTTGATCGAGAAAACGTACCGTAGATTGGCTTGGTCTGGTGAGCGATTCCGGCATACTCGGAGTTCGCAGTGCTTGCAACGACGGTGAAGCCCTCGGGAAGGGCCACCAACTGCTTTGATGTGAGAAAGTGTGCTTCGAAACTTCGGAATGCTCTCTACCAAAGTTGATGTACCTTGTCAAAGTGACTCATGTATGCTATGGTGAAAGTCAGCATTTGCCAATAGAGTGTCCGGGAATTCCTTAATCGTTTGGAAGCTCACCTTGCATCGTCTCTCCCAGACCAGCAAAGAGGCGATCAGTGTGGGAGTTGCCGGAGTTGAGAATGGTGACATCGGCGTGACCGTACTCTGTATAGCAGACGGGTTAGAAGGGTTATCCTTTGCTACGACTTAATCCCCCAAATTTGACTGACCTCGGGCTTCTCCGCGAGCCACGTTCTTGGCGTTGATTCTCCAGGCAAGTTCCTGAGCACCGTTAGCCAGCTGTTCGTCTCGATATATTGTGCCGCCGGGATCTTGGTGTAAGACGAGGAAGCGTCCTCGTGCAGTCGAAAGTAGGAGAAAGAGATCTCATCGAGCATTACCTGGCAACCGTAGCTACACACATCAATGAGTACATATTTCCGCTAGTAGAGGTAATGGATGACTTACCAGATACCCAAAATGGGAACACCGAGGTCAAAGATCGCGGGGTCGACGTCTTTACGGTATCAGAAAGAGCTCTGCTCTACTTTCTCAAGAAATTGCCTTACGAGGAGAGTCTTGGTCGTAGACAGATGAGGGACCGCCAGACAACACGATACCCTTGGGCTTGAAAGGAAGATCCGCTAGCTTCGTTGTGCAAGGCAGCATCTCAGCGTAGACCTTGAGAGATCTCAGGCGACGGAGGATGAGATGACTGGTCTGGGAACCAAAGTCGAGAACGAGGATGGTCTGGAATACACTTTGTCAGTTACCCAATTTGAAATTGGCTTTTCTAACCCCCAATAACTTTGACTGTATCGACATCGTTGGCGCCTGGTGACTTGTGTGTTGTAACCGTGGGGAGGATCGTAAGTTCGAGTCGAGGGGTTCGATAAGCGCGAGCCGTTTGTTGAAGCTCGACGCGTATTCGTGTGAGAAAACCCTAGAATTGAGAAAGTCCTGCGCGCTCGCATGATTCCTGCTTTTTCGACTCTGGTATGACTCCCACTATGCCCTTGAGCTGTAGTACACCCGCCCTCGCAGCAATAATCGTGATCCAAGGCCATCGCAGGGTATATAGTTTCGGAGGAACAACTCAAGGCAGAGCTGGGCGCGGCTAAAAGGATTCGGGAGGTCGATTTCGAGGATTCTAGCACTTTTTCGAGGTAATGGCTAGTCGTGTCGGTGATCGGGATGGTTGTGGGCAGCGGGTTCCACATAGTCAAAGTTCCTGGGGGTCGTATTGGGGGCACTCGCTGAGGGCGAAGGGGGGAGACGTACGTCAAACATGTTGTGAGGCGCCTCGGCCTCGGCTTCAATAGCGCTCGCCATCTTGAATGCTTTGCTTGCTAAAAAGGGGAAGTATGCGTGTTGTTGGCGGTCGGCGGTCGTGTTTTGCGCGAGAGAAAAAACGAAGGCGGAGGAAAAAAGTTTTGGTAAGAGTCAATCCATCGCCCGGCACGCACCTGCGCATGGCGGGGGCGGGGCACTTTCTGTCCCTTATCTTATCGCTTCAGGGGTCCACCCTTGTACTGCTAAGAATCTCAGCCACATTACAGCTCCAGCCACTGTACTGTCGGTGATGAGCGGTGATGAGTGTCACTGAAACTGAACAGTTCAAGAAGCTAAAGGATATCTTTTTATACAAATACTACAGCTGATATTTCCCTCGAACATCCCAAAGCAGTACATTCATGATTGATTCGAAAGCATCTAAAGTGATGATAAGGATTCATCTCTGGGATACCTCAATTAGTCTCAAGAGTACTGGACTGGTCCTAATCCAGCCAGGATGATGTCATTCATAGCTCCAGTGACATCGCCAAACCCGCCGAAATTTGAGCTTTCTCTCGAGGACATGAGCACTGATTCTCGTCAATGCTTCTGTCGTTCATACGTGCGATAATTCGACAAAATGTATGAGATCTACGCTGTGAGTATTTCTTAACCCGGGTGGTCAAGCCTTTACTCCCAACTAACGAGAACAGGCCGGTGCTGCGGCAGCATTCACAGTAGACTGTCTTGTCTACCCTCTAGATACTATCAAGACCAGATACCAAAGCCAAGACTTTGTCAAGACTTATGCTTCGACATCGGGAAGCAAAGCGCCCCTCTTCCGGGGCCTCTACCAAGGCATCGGGAGCGTGGTGCTAGCCACATTACCGGCAGGTGAGTACATATTTAGTCTCCCACGAAGCATCATACGTCACGGCCAGATACGATATGAATGGCACTGATAAGCTCGAAAACGTACCAGCCGGGATATTCTTCGCCACGTACGAGAGCATGAAGAAGACCATCTCCAACACGGCCCTACTCCCTCAACCGTTCGTCCATGCCTCAGCCTCAGCCATCGCAGAGATGGGCTCATGCCTGGTGCTCGCACCGGCAGAAGTCATCAAACAAAATGCGCAAATGTTGCGGAAGCAAGATAACAGCAGCAACAGCACCAGGCGATCAACTTCCCTGGAGGCCCTCCGACAAGTCACCAGTTCCGGAGCGCAAAGGCGTCTCTTCTCCGGATACACGGCCCTCGTGGCACGCAACCTCCCCTTTACTGCTATTCAATTCCCCATCTTTGAGCATGTGCGAAACACAGTCTGGACCTCGAGGTCGGAAGGGAGGGCAGAGGGCGAAGAGCAAGGCCTCGTAGAGACGGCCGTAGTCACGGGGACCAGCGCAGGCGCAGCGGGCGCGTTTGCGGCGTTCATCACTACGCCGAGCGATGTCGTCAAGACGCGGATGATGCTGAGCGCGGGAGAAGCCGGCGATCAGAGCCACGTTGCCGCGCCTCAACAGGCTGGTGGATCGACGAAGCCCAGGCCGAAGCCGAAGCGCGGCAGCTTGGAGGTGACGAGGGACGTGTATCGACAGCACGGCGTGCGCGGGTTGTTCCGCGCTGGAGGGCTGCGTGCCGCGTGGACGGCCGTCGGCAGCGGTCTCTACCTGGGCACGTACGAAATGTCAAAGGTCTGGCTCACTCGAGGCAAGGACGAATCGGAAGTTGTCGGAGGGCTGTAGAGCGGGCGGGAAGAGAAGCAGCAGAAGATAAAAACGTGCATATGTGAGATTAGCAGGATGCATGTTTCTCGAGAGATAACAATCGGCGGTGACGGCGGCTGGAGGAAGGTTTGCTGTAAGTGTATCTGCGAGCGTATCTATCTTGATACGTGTATCTATAGGAATGGGTTTCCGTTATCAGGATCAAGGGGCGGCAGTGAAATGAGATGGAGGGGCCGTTCCGAAAGTTACGTCGTGCCAGATCGTCTGGTTGCTGTTGATACCTAGTCGAAAGCGACTGTGAAATTGAAAGCGAGTGAGGAAGCGTCTCCGAAACACGGGCTGGACAATGACACCCACCTTCACCTTCACCTCACGTTGCCGCATTGTTGGGGTGGATATTTGCCCGCCGGTACGTTGATCGTTGATGCCGGGGTACGCCAGCCTGCCGATGTGCAAAGTTGTCGGCCAATAGTTTCGGTGTGATAGAGCACAACTCTGCCAGCCTGCAAAAAGTCAGAATGCAGAGATGAAGGCAAAAAAAAAACAGAAAAACAGAGGCAGACACCAGAAACGCACCTTGAGAGCTCCCACAAACTCTACTGTTTCTTTTCCCCCCTCCCCAGAACCTGACCAAAGTTGCCAAACCATCCAACCCACCCTTTTTGCTAGCCCTACGGCTAAACGTTTTTGGTCCGTCTTAAGCCCCCGGTGTAGCGTCAGTGAAGAATGCGGGGGAATTCGCTGCTCCAACTCGGTCGTTTGGGCTTCTAAAGCAACACCACCACCAAATTTACATACCTTACCTTACCTTACCATAGGTAGGTTTGACCATCCGTTCTCCAAGACCAATATGGACGGACGATCCATCCTTTGTCGTTAGCCCCAAGTTTCTGGCCCAAAATCCTATGCCCAACACAACACTCACTCCATGCTTTTCCTCCTTTGGTGCTCTTGTTGCGCTTCTGCTTTGACAATTAGTAAAGGTAACTCAATGTGTTCCCGTAGTTTCGTGTAACTCCCTTACGTTTTTCTCCAAAATGGTCGTGCCAATAGAATTAAAAGTCAAACCAGACACAGAAAGTCTTAGAGGCGCATTGCGCATCATATCCAAAATTACACACGTCTCTGGCATCAGAACCACATCCGATTGCGCAATCCTCGACTCTGTCGCTCCTTTCGCCATCGGTACCGCACCGAACCGCACCATGGCTGTCCCATGCTTGCATGCTTTCCCCCCTGCTGCATAGTAGACTGTGTGGCACGCAAACGTCCGGGAAATTCTTTTCTCTCTCTACTTTTTTGAGATGATCCATACCTTGGGTTAGCCCGCCTGGCAGCCAGCCCGCCCCGGGTCGCAGATTTGCTATGCAAAGTCCCATGCAAAGCCCAGCAAAGCCCAAAAATAAGGGGTCCCTGAGCATGGTTGAGGGATGAACACCGCTTCTTTGACCGGCACACCGGGTTGGTCAGCTGCACTTGACTCGCACCGAGTCGACTCGACGGTGTGTAAGGTGTTAGTCGCTCCGACCCACCTGGCTTGGGTTAGGCAATCCCGTGTCGAAAAGACGTTTCCTCGACGCCCCTTGCCCGACACGTCCTCTGCCTCTGGATGGTGTGCTGTGCTGTGCTGTTCTTATATTTCAGACGCGACGCTCATTTTCATCTTCTCGTTTTTCAGATGTTTATCTTTTGTCGTCCCACACGTTGAAAGCACCATCTCTTTGCCTTAGTTCCCCAGAAGAGTTCGCTTCATCCTGTACTGAGCCCGAGTCTGCAGCTTACACAACTCGTTGCTTCGCCCACACCGACTCCAGGCAATCTTGAACTGAACTTCTTCAAGTGCGCTCTCGACTACCTTGACCAACAGCCCAAGGTCACACACGTTCATCAGAAGCCACAGAGTCGCTGCTCTAGATCATCACCATGACTGCCGTTGTGACTACGGCCCCATTGGGCGTCGACCCTCTCGCCCAAAATATCAAAGAGAATGCAGCCATCAACGTTGACGAGATCGACATCAACAACACCGACAGGTTCCTTGTTCACTCTCCCTACACAGATCCAGAGCACTTGCTAGACCTCGAGACCCTGGATTATGAAAATGCTCTCCTCGCCAGAGCATTGTCTCAGATGGAGTGCGTTCGCGCGGACTACGCCACGGCCGGCTACGTTGAATCCTTCAACTGGGAACAAGTCCTGGGTGAGCTCAGGCGCCTTGTTCAATCCACTGGGAAAACGTTCAAGGAAACTTCCTTTTACATTGTGGCATTCCGATCGACGATCCCGCCATCCACAATTTATGAAGATCTTGGCGTTTTGGACAAGGCCGCGCACGCCGAAGCCAACCAGTTCGGAGGCTTCCTGAAGTAAGAAAGAACGAGGAAATAAGTAGACAAAGAAGACAAGAGACTGACTCCCCGCAGGTATTGGTTCGGAAGTCCCGACTCAGAAGGCAGAAACTTGGCAACTTGCGTCTGGCGGTCGAGACCAGATGCCGTCAAAGCCGGCCACGGTCCTGCTCATCGCCGGGCAAGTCGCGCGACGGCGTCCATGTACTCGTTCTGGAAAATTGATCGTCACCGCCTGATCGTTCGTGACGGCGCCGAAAGCTGGGAGATTGTCGATTGGGTTGACTGAGAGCACCCTCCTTCAGACTGATGGGTAAAACAAAAGTGACTATTTTCAGCGTTTGGTAATTTGGGTAAATGTCGCAATCGAGCTAGTAAATAAGCAATGAGACACCACGAACAGAGCGTATGGTACGCGGCATGAGAGGGTATGACATGGGCGCACTTGAATACTTTAGCATTATACAGCCAAGAAACCACTGGCTCTTCCCTTCAATAGACAGCGTACTAGACAAACGCATAGATTCATCACATCGTATCCTACACTTCCCCCTCAGTGACGGCCATGTTGGAAATCGTCCTGGATACCTGAGCGAAAGACGAGGGGACCGAATTCTGAAGCAGGCGAGAGCTCGGACTTCCAAAGGCGCTGAATCACGGCTGTGATGTACCATAACCATTTTATCGACATGTACAACTCGACATCGGCACAAAACACCCCCCGAGTGATATCGCAAAATGATGCTCAGGAGCAGGAGAGTTGAATGGGCCAGGTTTTGAAGAGGAAGACGGAAGGAGGGAAGCGCAGGACGGCGAGATGAGACGACGTTGAATTTAAACTCGACTTGAGTGCTTTCGGCGTGGGGGCATGAGTGGGATGCCCTCCCATTCAGGACGTGGCGTGTGGAATCTGTTACGGATCACCGTGGGAAAGAAAGACGGCGGTGTGGGTCCGTGGACGGCCGGTCCGGAGGGCGTGAATTTAACGGCGTGAGAGGGGTAGACATATCACATGACCTTTCTCCAGGGAATCCTGCCGCCTGACACCGCCCGACAGCCCACAATCCCTCCCACAATTCGTTGTAGCGAAAAGTTCGATATTTCGCATCACGAACGAGACGACGCCGCCCCCCCTCTCGAATCCGACCGCCAAGTTAACGCGACACCAACGATCCCGCAGCCGCAGACTCAACCAGGTCACGAATTTTTGAACCTGCACGAATCCCCCCGATCGTATCGCAAATATGGGTGACGTTATCAAGGAGGTGCCGCTCACGGCGGTCCGCGTTGAGGCCCTTGTGAGTACTGCCCGGATTCTGCCCCACCTCTCCTCACATTAGGACTTCATACTGCAGTGTGGTCATGATGGAGGGATACCATAAGGAAACTGTATGTGTGTGAGTCGCTGACCTTTGATGTGTCTCTAGGTGGTGATGAAAATCGTCAAGCATGGCTCCGCGACCTTCCCCACGACCGCCACCGGTTCCATCGTCGGCATGGACACCGAAGGTCTCCTCGAGATCACCAACACCTTCCAGTTCCCCACGGTCGATGTCGCAAGCACCGACAGCCACCAAAACAGCCACCAGAACGATGCCTCGGCCCTCGCTGCCGCCGCTCCCCGCCAGAAGGCCAACATTGTCTACCAGAACGACATGATCAAGCACTTGAAGGAGGTCAACGTCGACGCTAACAACGTCGGCTGGTACACCAGCGCTGCCATGGGCAACTTTGTCAACCTCAGCTTCATCGAGAACCAGTACCACTACCAGAAGGACAACGAGCGGACAGTCGCCCTCGTCCACGACGTCAGCCGCAGCTCCCAGGGCTCCCTGAGCCTGCGCGCTTTCAAGCTCACCCCGTCATTCATGGCGGCATACAAGGAGGGCAAGTTCACGACTGAGAGGTATGTGTAGATTGTCGTGGAACTATAGTGGCCGACTGCGGTAACTGACAAGATCAACAGCCTGAAAGCCTCCAAGCTCACCTTCAAGGACATTCTTGCTGAGCTCCCCGTCGAGATCCACAACACCCACCTCCTGACCTCTTTCCTGCACCAGCTTCCCGGCCTCCCCGAGCAGGACAAGATCGAGTCGCCCAACACCCTGGCGGATCTCCGCGACGACCCTCTCAAGCAGCAGCTTCACCCCTCGGTTGAGAACCTCGACCTCTCGATAGACCCCTTCCTCGAGAAGACGTGCGACCTCCTGCTCGAGAGCATCGAGTCCCACTACACCGACCTCAACAACTTCCAGTTCTACCAGCGCCAGCTCGGCCGTGAGCAGGCCAAGATTACGCAATGGCAGACCAAGCGCAAGGCGGAGAACGCCGCGCGCGCGGCTGCCAAGCAGACGCCGCTGCCCGAGGACGAGTGGCAGAGGCTGTTCAAGCTGCCCCAGGAGCCCAGCCGGTTGGAGGGCATGTTGAACGCGAAGCAGGTGGAGCAGTACAGCAAGCAGGTGGATGGATTCACGGCCAACATCAGCGCCAAGATGTTTGCTGTCAGGGAGAACCTCCTGCCCAAGCGGGCTTAAATGGACGCCTAAGGCAGGCTCGGGGCATCATTTCGCGGCTCCATGGATGTGGATAAACAAGAACCAAAACGGAAGGCCGGCGTGAGACGAAGTGGAGGAGAGGGGAGGAGAGCAGAGTCAAGGCGAGAGGAGACCAAAAAAGGAGAGAGGAATTACCTTGTAGAATGGGTGTTCTGGGAATGATGAATGATCTGGGGCAGCGGATCAAAGCATTCGAAACGGCGTTACGGTAATTAGTCCCAGGCAGTGTGTACTGAGTCGATATTCGATGTCTTTTCTTGCATTCCAGAGGCGACGGATTTTCCCTCCCTGGGCTGCGGCATGTCTCGGGCCTCTGCCACGGTCCGTGGCTGACGTTGAAGGAGCCTCGCGAGTAAAGGGGTGATGCCGTGACGGGACGAGGCTAGGTATCGAGGTATGGAGATGGCACATCGGCGGTTGGGGCTATCATCCCGTTCTTCTGCCTGAAGATGGTACGGCCGGACACGAGTAGAGAATACCACGTCAAAACATCAGAGAAGGAAGGTATTGGCATTTGACGGTAGCACGTGGTCATTGACTGGCTTCCACCAAGTAAAATTTGTCCGTAAATGTTCGTAGGACAAGGCCAGAATCAAACACATTGAACAGTAAATGTAAGTATCCGAGTATGTCTCCGGACAAGTCGGCTTCAGATGCCTTGTCCCAACCATCGTCCGTGACCCATGCTATATACCATACCGGCTGCAGAGCACACTGGACTTTGGCTCTGGCAGCCCTGTCTTCCATGATTCGTCCGGTCCCGTTGGGGATTACTGCCCAAAGTCAGTTCATGGGAACTCGGAAGGGAGAGGTCGGTGCCTTGGTTCCTTTTCCCACCTTTCCATTGGTACCTGAGCAGAGCAACTTGAAGTACGTGGTGCGTTTGTGTTCCCCGAGAGGACGACGGTGGTGGGGCAGTAAATCGAGGGGTTTCACGCCCAAAGGGGACTAGCGCAGGAAAACGGTAAAACAAGGGGAAACAAAAAAATACTCAGGCGACCTCTCGGATCGAGTCTCGGCAGCACGCCTGGCCTGGCGACGCCTGGCGCGGGACGGGCACACGCGGGAAGCTGTTGGCAAGGAAAAAATGGCATAGAAGCACAGAGGCAATGAGGGGCACATCCCCCTCCCCCTCTCCATCAGGGTAGGTACTTGCTCCCTATCAGATTTGCATGTACCTTTGCCGCCCACCTCATGCCGACTGAGTAAGGCAAATGTATCTTTTTCTCACTGATTCATTGACTGACTGACTGCACTGTGGTCATCTTTCTTGCCAAATTACCCGACCTAACCTTACCTCACCTTACCTCCGAGCAGGTCGGTCCCGGCCTACGGGGTGCCCTGAGCTTTCCCAGTTTGTGTTTCGAGTGGTAACGTAATAAGGGCCTTCCTTGAACAGAGCTACCAGAGGTACTTTGAGTGGTAAGCCAAGAACACGAAAGCTGGGACAGCTCACAATCCAGAGCTTGCTCCCTTAGGTCTAGCCCTCCCTTTCCCTTCCATGTGCGCCGCCCTTTGTGGCTTATCAAAAACGGGAGCTCTACTCTCTAGCTGTTGGATGTGCTGTGTTGAATTATGAACGGGTTAGGGGAAAATGCAAAACGCCAATTGAACGACGTTGGATGAGACAGGAGTCGGTGTCTTGGGCCAGACAATGACTGACACCTCAGCCACTGGCCAGTAACGGGAAATGTCAGAAAAAAGTCTGGCAGAAAAATACCGGGGAACGGAAGCCGAGCTATCTGATTCGTATCCGTACCTTAGCTAAGGTGCGATAGCACGGCAAGGTAGGTATGTACATTGCCCCTCCTCTTTTGCCTCCCTTCACCGCATGGAAATGGTCTGAGAGAAGCTCAAAGTGGAAGTGTTCTGGGGCCCTTGAGAAAGTCAGATTGTCGGATATGTGACGGAGCGAGTGTACTACTGCTACACTGTTGGACCCGAGTTATGAGGAGGGATAGCAACAGCAAGGAGTGTATCATTGTACCCAGTCAGTCAGTGTCGGAGCTATCAACAGCCGAGGGGCATGTCGGTCGTTGGTGAGTATTCCACCTCCTCAGTACCTTACTTTGGGCTGTGAACAGCAGTAATAATGGAGAGAGTGGACAGATAGCATGTACCTTTGCTATCGTATCAGCTCAGAAAGTCTCGCGGAGCCATGACCAGCACACTGAGCAGTACATTGAAGAGAAGTGACCAGTAGAGTGCTGTGTTGAGGGCAGGTGAAGGGTAAAAGGTGGACGAGGTGCCCAGACAACGACCAGACACTGGCAAACCCCCACCCCGCCTGCCACACTTCGAGTCTTGCAGTCAATTGGGAGTCACGGCCTGAAGTGAGAGGAGGAGCATCCTGATTCCTGCCGAGTTGAGGTGAAGTTTTTGCCCCGCCTCAGGCTTCAGGTGGGCTGCAGAGGCAGGAAGTCTCCGTCCCCCAGTCACCTTTACCCCTCCTTCCCACCACTGGCCATCTACGGATACCTACCTCAATCTGAACTTGTGAAGTAGGTACAGATACTATGTAGAGACAAGTATCTTTTTTTTTTTTAATCACCGTACCTACCTTGCGCCGCGCTTCGCCGACACACAGCAACACCAAGAAGGCAAGAACGAGGTACCTTTGGGAGACGCAGCAAGCAGCAGCAGCAGCAGAAATTTCTCAGTCTGGATTCCCGACATCTCATCCCTCGCATCCCTCCCACTCACACTTCCACTTCAGGCACTCACACACCGCCCTGCCTTCCTGCCGTCCCTGTCAGTGTCTGAACCCCTCCAAGCACCAAAAGCCTTTTTTTTTTACTTCTTCTACCTCCCCTCCCCCCGCCAACTACCTTTTGAACCTTCTCCTGCTTCTCTCCTTCTTCATCCTTTCTTCTTCTCTTCTCCCTCTTCTATACCCCCTTCCTCCCTCTCTCTCCCAAACCACCTTTTACCATCACCACAAACTTCACAATGGCTGCCCCCGCCAACAAGTTCAAGGTCGCTGACCTGTCCCTTGCCGCCTTCGGCCGCAAGGAGATCGAGCTCGCCGAGAACGAGATGCCCGGTCTTATGCAGACTCGCACCAAGTACGCTGCCGACCAGCCCCTCAAGGGTGCCCGTATCGCCGGTTGCTTGCACATGACCATCCAGACCGCCGTCCTCATCGAGACCCTCACTGCTCTCGGTGCTGAGGTCACCTGGACTTCTTGCAACATCTTCTCCACCCAGGACCACGCCGCCGCTGCCATTGCCGCCGCCGGTGTCCCCGTCTTCGCCTGGAAGGGTGAGACCGAGGAGGAGTACAACTGGTGCTTGGAGCAGCAGCTGTCCGCCTTCAAGGATGGCAACAAGCTCAACCTCATCCTCGATGACGGTGGTGACCTGACCCACCTCGTCCATGAGAAGTACCCCGAGATGCTCAAGGGCTGCTTCGGTGTCTCTGAGGAGACCACCACCGGTGTCCACCACCTCTACAAGATGCTCAAGGACGGCAAGCTCCTTGTCCCCTCCATCAACGTCAACGACTCCGTCACCAAGTCCAAGTTCGACAACTTGTACGGCTGCCGCGAGTCCCTCATTGACGGAATCAAGCGTGCTACCGATGTCATGGTTGCCGGCAAGATCGCCGTCGTCGCTGGATTCGGTGATGTCGGCAAGGGCTGCGCCCAGGCTCTGCACACCATGGGTGCTCGTGTCATTGTCACCGAGATTGACCCCATCAACGCCCTCCAGGCCGCCATGGCCGGCTACGAGGTCACCACCATGGAGAAGGCCGCTCCCCGCGGTCAGATCTTCGTCACTACCACTGGCTGCCGTGACATCCTGACTGGCGCTCACTTCGACGTCATGCCCAACGACGCCATTGTCTGCAGTACGTTTTAACAGCTCCCTTTCTCTTGATATCAAGTCAACTAACCCTCTTCCTCCAGACATTGGTCACTTCGACATCGAGATCGACGTCGCCTGGCTCAAGGCCAACGCCCAGAGCGTCCAGAACATCAAGCCCCAGGTCGACCGCTTCCTGATGAAGAACGGCCGCCACATCATCCTCCTTGCCGAGGGTCGTCTGGTCAACCTTGGCTGTGCCACCGGTCACTCCTCCTTCGTCATGTCCTGCTCCTTCACCAACCAGGTTCTTGCCCAGATCATGCTGTACAAGTCCGGTGACGCCGCCTGGGGCCAGAAGTACGTCGAGTTCGCCAAGGCTGGCAAGCTCGATGTCGGTGTCTACGTCCTCCCCAAGGTCCTTGACGAGGAGGTCGCCAGACTCCACCTGTCCCACGTCAACGTTGAGCTCACCGAGCTCACCAAGACCCAGGCCGACTACCTCAGCATCACCGTTGAGGGTCCCTACAAGAGCGACATCTACCGCTACTAAGCGGCCTCTTTGTATCATCCAATCTTTTAGCGACTGGATTTCTTCAACATTCCGACTAATGACTTCAACGAGCGTACACCATAACATTTGGCAATGTGTGTTCTCAACAGCATGACTTGCATGACACATCTGGGAAGGGAATCTCGGCTGGGGGCGGTTACGGGCTGGAAACTCAAAAAGCTTGGGGGGGCCTGGCTGCGAGATTTTTCAACAAAAAAAAGGCGTTGGCTTGTGAATAGTGATTCCCCAGACCATGGCATCTGTATTTTGCTTTCTTCGGCCCGACTCTTGGGGAGCGGGAAAAAATAAGGGACTCAACCCCCGGACATGGGAATTAGGGGTTATGGGTAGACAACTCGACGACTAGGGCCCGTCAACCGCGGTCCGCATAGATGAATATATGCGTCTTTCGAGCAAACATATCGTGACCATTGTCTTGTGTCCTGGAGCAGAGTGATTCTTGTGATGTCTATGCTTGGGTTTTACGTAAAACTAAATGCAGAACTCGAGTCTTGATGAAGTGTTTGCCGGCAGAAGCCCTGAGGCAAATTAATGTCGATGCTGGCTATACCTGGCGTATACTACCTACTTGGGCCATGTAAATTCAGACGTTAACCCGTCATTTGCCGCTGGCCATTATGTTTCCTGGTTTGTCAAGGACCTTAGCTTTGGGTCGTCCGCCGTGAAGCCTACATCCATGGGATTGAGTACAACTTGGGTACTAAAATTCTGGGTCTAATGCAAACATGGAAATATTGGTGTAGAGTGGCTATGCCTGGTCGTATTTACAAGCTGATGATGTTGTTACATCCGTATCAAACAGCGAGCAACAATGAAATCTTTCTTGAAACTATGCGTCTTCGAGACCAAAAAGAAACTCATTTGGCTTGCAAGTCCACAGGTTAATCTCCCCCTTACTACTTGCTAAAGATCTAGAGCCCAACACATCCGCCAACGAGCAAAGAGTCGCATTTTACTTACCACCAACCAGCCCCTTTTGCTCAACAACAACACTATCCAACTTCCCCTCCGTCACCGCCCTCCTAACATTGCCAATCGCCCACTTTTCCATCTTGACGCTCGTCTCCAGCGTCCAGGTGCCCATGTGCGGGACAATGAGAACATTGGGGTTGGCGAGCAGACCGGGGTGGACCTCGGGCTCGTTCTCAAACACGTCGAGGCCCGCGCTGGCGACTTTTCCAGAGTCGAGGGCTGATACGAGGGCGGCCTCGTCGATGACTGCGCCGCGGGCTGTATTGACTATCACGACGCCGGGTTTCATGAGGTCGAATTGCGGGGTTGAGATTATGTGCCGGGTGTGAGCCTTTTGTTGTCAGTCGTGATGGAGGGTAGACGGATCTGGGTGGACGTACGTTTAGAGGTAAGTTCAACGAAACCACGTCACTCTCCCGCAACAACGTCTCAAAATCAACATATCCTGCACCATACTCCTCCTCTAAGGCGCCCTCGAGCCTCGTACGGTTATAATACCGCACCTCCATGCCAAACGCCCTCGCCTTCTTGGCCATGTTGCGCCCGATACCGCCCATGCCTAGGATTCCTAGGATTTTGCCCTGCGGGTCGCGGCCCAAGGGGGGAGGAGGTGTGCCTTTCCATTGGGAGGCGCGGATGGAGAGGATGGAGGCGTTGAGGTTGCGGAGGGCGCCGAGGATGAGGAAGATTGCCATGTCTGCTGTTGCGTCGTCGACTGCTGTGGGGGTGTTTGAGACGAGGATTGGGCGGGGGGTGCAGGCTGGGATGTCGATTTGGTCGTAGCCGGCGCCTGGGGGGTTTGGGGGAGGTTAGAGTTGGTGATTCTCTTGTTTATTATGGTCCATCTGAATGATGAGGGAAGAGGCGAGTGGGAAGAGATTGGGGGGGGGGGGGGGGGGGGGTATGGGTGGTGTCGATGGACATGGGGGACTCACCATTGTGGCAGATGAAGCCTACACTGGAGGGGAGAGCGGCGACGAGCTCGGCGTCGATGCGGCCGGTGATGTGGACGCTCGAAAAGGTGCGGTAAATTGCCACCACGCCGTCGAGGGCGCCGGATTTACATTCTTGGAGGAACTCGGCGCGGTTGGTGGCCTTGGGCTTGATGATTTGGGCGACGTCGGCTAGGGATGCCCAGGTGTCGTGGGCGCTTGCGGGTTGTGTTTGTTAGCTTTGGTTCAAGTGTTCGATGTAGAGATGAGGAAACGGGATATAGAGGTGATTATGGGAGGATGTGAAGACGAGGCTGGAGGTTGATTGGGGAGTGTGAGATGGGACTGATGAGGGTGAGACGAAGAGGAGGGGGATGTACTGCTCGATTTGGCCCAGTTGGAGGACTATGGGCTTGGACATGGCTGCGGTATTGAGAAAATTGACTTGGGGTGAGCTTTTTCTGAGATGTGTTTATCCTCAGATGGACTTGAGAAATTGACTATGGAAAGTATCGATTAGCTTTCAACATCAACATCCATATTCGTCCCTCGGGCCTCTTTCTCAGCAAGTTGAAGACTCTGCAGAAGCCAAGGGGCTTCGTGACGATGCTTGGGATAATAAAAGCAACATACTAGACTAATCAATCTCACTGGTGATGATGGAATTGAGGTTGGAATGAATTTTGTCACCTCGCCTAGTTGATGCCGCGAAGTCGGAGTTGAGATACAGCGGCGCGGGGTGGCTTTCCCGTTGGGAAGTCGACTCGATTGGGAAAGTGGGGGTTGATCAGCGGGGTTTGAGCTCAATTGGTCGCCCGAACTCGTCTTCATACAACGGCCTCACCAAGAAGTAATGTTCAAGGGGACTGAAGACGACTGAGGTGATTCGATTCTCTACTGTGACCTCCTGGTCTGAACGTGAGGGTTCTACTAATAGGGCCATCTGGGCGGTTGGACGATGTGTCTCTACAAGGCGTGAAAGGGCGTGAGTGGCACCCTGCCGGCGCCGGCATCTCATCTCAGACCCGAGTTGAGGGCGGTGTCAGACACTCCGGCTTTTTCGGGGAGAAGGCCGAGTCAAGGCATTGGGTGAAGCAGAGTAAGCCAGTTTCGATCGACATGATTGATAGGGCTGAGAGGCTTTCATCACTTCCAGATACGCCACGGATTTTACAACACCAAGACCCAGAGATTGGCCTTACACACATCCGCGACTTCAACTGGGACGAGTCTTGTCTCATGAGGGTCATGAGAAAGTGCTGATAACGTCACTTACAGAAAGAGAAAATTTCAAACAAGTACTTCACATCACCTGCGGCTTCCACTAGCCATGGGGAAATGTTCCAAAGTGTACTATGACTCGAAGTGAACTGGCAGAGAACCAGCTTGTTCAGTGAGACAAACAAATAGAACGAAGTGGACAATCCATGCGATGGACGGTCCTCAAGGTCCAGGTTCTTACTGTAGGATTAACGCAATTTCTCCGGCAAGAAGCATCTCTTGAAGACAAGTGTCTATTCTTCGGCTTTAGATCTCACTGAACTTCATCTGAAGCACACATGGCCTCATATGGCTACTCAGTCGAAGGAGGCTTTAGTCGTAACCAAGTCCTGGGATATCTTGGAGCTCCTTATCGTCAGATTTGCTTCACCAAGGATCTTGACCCGACACAGACCTCAAGTAGAGTTATTCACAGCAAGAAACGTCTTCCCAGCGTAAGTATAAAATGGTATCAGTAAAATACAATAAATCACCAGTTATTCTCCTTAAAAACAGTCTGACAGCCCACCCCGCCAATGAAATCCCTCGCCTCCGTCTCCGACGTGAAAACATGCGGAAACGGCTTCTCCCCGTCCACATCAACCTCCATCCCCAACACCCCGTTCGGATCAACCACCACAACACTCCTCTCATCCAGCAACAACCGCCGAATATCCTCATGTACGATCCGCCGCGCAATCGCATTTAGCGAATACGCACCCCGAAACGAAAACACAACCGCACACGCCTTCTCATGCCTCCCCGAACCCGGGTCCTCCGGATCAGGCGACCCCAGCTCTCGCGCCAACGCCCTCGTCAACCTCTCGGACCCGGCGAACCGCACCGCCCCGCGCAGGCTGAAGATGACGACTTCACGCTGGCAGTTTGGGTTATGCGGCTCGTGTGCGCCCGCGACGATGGTCGCTACCGACGTCCGTACCGTCGCGCTGGCGATTTGGCTCACGTCCATCATGTGCAGTCCCATGTCGCGCGAGAGCTGCTCGCACATGGCTACGCCGCGCACACTGTTCCCCCGTTCATCGAGTTTCGGCGAGAAGGAAGCGAGGCCAACTTGGCCGGGTAACGCGCCTATAATGCCGCCCGCGACGCCGGATTTGGCGGGGATGCCGACGTTGGAGACCCAGTCGCCTGCGGCGTCGTACATGCCGCACGTGGTCATCACTGAAAGAACCTGCCGGACGCTGGTCTGCGGGATGACGGATTCGCCTGTGAGGGGCTGCACGCCGCCGTTGGAGAGCGTGGCTGCCATGACGGCTAGGTCGCGGACGTTGACGCTGATGGAGCATTGGCGAATGTATCCTTTCACGGCCTCGCGCGGGTCGCAGGTGATGATGCCGGCTGCTTTGAGCATGTAGCCGATGCCCATGTTCCGGTCTGCGTCCTTGAGTTCCGCTTCGTAGACTTCTTCGTCTACGTGGAGCTGCCGGCCCGCGAGGCGCGAGAGGGCGGAGAGGATGCGTTCCGTGCGCTGTTCCAGTGTTGCGGAAGGGGATACGACGAGAGAGTGTGCTGTGATGGCGCCGGCGTTGATCATGGGGTTCATGGGCCGGTTGGAGCCTCGCTCGAGGGAGAGGCGGTTGAAGGCGTCGCCCGAGGGCTCGACGCCGATTTTCTCGAGCACGGCGGGGAGGCCTGCATCCTCAATGGCGAGGGCGTAGACAAAGGCTTTGGAAATGGACTGGATGGAGAACTCGACGCGGTCGTCGCCTGCCGAGTAGAGGTTCCCGTCTACCATGGCGAGAGCGACGGCCATTTTGGACGTGTCTGCTTTGGCTAGCACGTCAATGTAGCCCGCTGGCGCACCGGCTTCGTTGGGGCGCGCATTCTCGAGGACGCGGTTGAGGTAGTCGGGGATCGGGGATTTCATTTTTGTGTGAGTTGAATGATGATCGTGAAGCCACGGTGAGTAACGGAAGCCCATCGTGAGTTCTTTTGTTGTATATATCTAGTCTGCACTTGGCGCTTACTAACAACCCGTTTGCGCTGTTTTCAGCCAGTCTAGCGGAAGTCCGCGAGTCACACGACAATTGCTGGCAAGATCGCCAGATAGACGTTTACAGAAACGCTTCACCCGTTGGCAAAAAAGCTCTTACTGAGATGTATGTTAGCTCAAGTTGCTCAACTTTCGTCTTGGCGTACGAAACCCCACAACTCAACGGCGAGGCAAGTGGATATACTACCTACGGTGGGGAGTTGGAGGATATGGAAAACTCAACTATCTCAGAATTTGTGAAGCAAGCCGGTAGTCGAACAATATGGATATGAATAATTGATGAAGAACAACTACAATCATCCAAGAATGTCCCGCACTGAACTTGTCATGAGCTCTTTTCATGGTGAAATTGCCGAATTCGGTAACCCTAAGTGTTCCACCTCCAGATCCGAAGCTGGTCGTATATACGACAAATCGCAAGGTTTTCCTTAGGTAAAAGACTCGGGAAAAATCGCATCTTTGACATTCAAACACCACAACAATTTTGAAAGTAACATCGCCGACATCGCATGGACCCCAAGATAAGACATCTTGGCGAAGGAGTAGTATCTTTGGCATGCGTTTCCGAATCGGCATCCAAACCTCGCTAATCGCCGGCTAGGCTCTTCATCGTGGTCACCTGCATTGATCCCTGCATCTGCTCGCCCGCAAAAGACCTCATTGTCAACACATTGGGTCCTATGTCTGCCCGCGCTGCCGAACATCTGTCCCGCTCCGGCCCTTTGCCCAGCCTGAGTTGAACGTCGCCGGTCGGCGTATGGCTTCATCGGTGCATGTATCCATCTCCCTCTTCGGCCATCAACCTCAAGTGGCACATTTAACAACAACGTCATGACACGTTACGGGAAGCAACGATGCTACTTGAGAATTCCTTGATTTTTACTGGCCTCCTTAGTCCAGGATCTAGGCCATGCTGTCTAATATCGTACAGAGTATCAGTAGTGCCGAGATCCAGAAGTCTGGTAGTGTTCCTCAGGAAATCCCAAGGGATACCTCTACCAAGTCTCCCGTTCCTCAAAGCACCGCCGTACTAAAAAAAACCACTTTTCTTTTCTGCCCACCACACCGCCGCCATGCCTGAATAATCACTAGTTTTTAGGGGGGAACTACTTGTTGTACAAGACGATGCCGTCGGCCGTGAAAATAGAGGACGAGCAGCAGCGTATTGCCGCCCGCATGCTTGGATGCAAAGGAAAATGAAATCACAAAAGGGAAGAAAGCCATGCTTCCCTCCCCATCCCTGTGAACGCCTCTGGAAATACACGATTTTTTGTTCTCCCCCGCCTCCCTTTGAGCCTGGAAAATGCTGCAGAGTGTGAATGCTGATAGGAAAGATAAGGAGGATCTGGTTGGATCAATATGATCAAGGCTGTGCTGGAGCAGCCTGGTGGGGGTGTGCCGCAATGTTGACACCGGGACTGATATACGCTCTGATGGCAATCTCGCCGAACCGCCTCACGACATTTGTTGTACCTCCAGTAACTTGTGCTTCATCCTGAATGAACTTGTTTGCCACGAAGAGTCGGTTCTTAGGGTCGGACTCATCCATATGCTGAGGCACATTCCGCTCAAAACCAACCTCAACACGAGGGGAGAGCTCTCGTGAGATAGCAATAGAGTAGATGAGATCTCGGTTTTCTCTACCACCAAGCTGCATTCGGAGCTTGCCGAGTACCTCATCACGCTTTGCTGGGTCGTAACAACACAGGTACTGCGCGAGATTATACCAGAACTCAAACTCCTGTTCGCGGTGAGGCTGCGTGTCAGGAACGGGAGGTGCGAGAGGATTTGAGGACAAGAAATCGCCACAAAGGAGAGTCTCCATGACCTTGACTCGGTTGGCCGCTTCCGTCAGGTCATCCGGAGGTGGCAGAACCTTGGCATCAGCGTTGGACGAAGGGGGTGCGCTGTTGCATGGCAAGATGGCCAGGGCCCAGATCAACCGGGTCTCGAGAACTCCGGAATGGGTCATCTGGGTATGGTCGTTGGCAGGAACAGACTGAACGATCTTGAGGAACGAGGCAAACTGGCGCAGGAGTTGTTGGCTGTGCTCAAAAGCAAACTTTCCCTGGGCATCCTGCTTCTGGAAATAGTTGGCCTCGAAGAAGGACTGGAGACCGACGGCGTAGACCTCGCGATAGACATTGATGATCTCGGTGAGTAGCTCCGGCGTGAGGGCAATCTCCTGGGTGGGAGCAGCGGGGCCCAGGAGGCCGATAAGGTCATCGACCTTCATTCTGGTGGCTGTGTGCGTCGTGTTAGTATGAGGGTTTGAGAGCAAAGCAACGGCTGAAAGAGAACAAGGCATGTACAATGATAGCGGGAGCGTCGCACCTCTGAGATGGTTGTCGAAGCCTGCCCTTTGCTCGCCCGAGAACGACTGAGTCTGAGTAGAGTGTAATGTCGCCGGGGCGGGTAGGTTCTGCAGAGCTGGATCTATCGGTGCTGCAAAGTCGTAGGTGGGCTCGGGTTTGATGCCGGATGCAGCAGAATTCAAGGCTGGATCGAGAGGGGCGTGCGAAGATGCGACGGGAGGATTGTACGAGCTAGGCAAGACGGCAGGCTGGTTCCCGTAAGGGTTTGATGGAGCTACCGGCACGGGCACCTGAGGCGCGACAGGAGTTGAAGGTACGGTTGGGACCGGAGGCGGGACGGATGATGGCACTGGTGGGATGGTCGGCGTCGGCACCCGTTGGGCGTTCGGAGCGGGCTGGATAACGGAAGGCCCCGGCTGCTGCTTGAAGATGGGGTCGTACCCCAAACACTCTCGCTTCGACTTCTTACAGTTGTTGCAGGACGGGTGAGCCTCGTCACACTATTAATAGACGGTTAGAAACGGCGGCTTTGGTTGAGTGGATGCAGAGAGCAAGAAGCTCAATCAAGAATAGACTCGTGAGTGAAGAATGAGAATGGCGAGGACGATGTGAAGCATTCGGGGAATATGTAGAGGCGGTTGACGGAAGACAATGGTATGTTGTGTATGGTGGGTGATATGTATTGGGGACGATGATGAGGTAAGGTGAATTGGAGTTGGAGTCGATGAATGTCGCAGATGGGACGAGGCTAAGCTTAACGAGCTAGCGGCAGTCATGACAGACAGGGTGGCTGGTGGCTTGGGGCTTGACCTGCTGTGGCTTGAAGGGCTTGGAGGCTTTTGGGGGGAAGGAGGGGCCTTGCCGGGCAAGCTGGCGCGGCGGTCGGTTGGCGGTCGGTTCTGCAGGAACGGAAGATTGCTCCTCCCTGCGGGCGTGGGCGCGGGCGCGATCCCGGAACGTGGTTCGAGGCATGGCTCCCGTCCTCGCTTCGCAGTAGCTCCAGACCAAGCGACATCAAGCGACCGTTTTTTTTTTTTTGGCGAAACCACGACTCGGTTCGCTTATCGTAAAGTTTGTTTCTTTGCCATCCTTTGCATTCCCGAGCTTCTCCAATGCTGCCTTCCTTGTGCGCCCGCGCGCTTTCTCAGATGGGAGTCTCGAGAAATTTTCCCCAATTGCCTCGACATCGCCCAACTCGTGGGGGGTAAAGGGGATATGAAAAAGATGAAAAAGACAAACAGAACGGAACTTCACGAGAATCATCACTAACCTTGATACGACGTTTACGACAAGTCAGGCAACCTGTCTTTGTCCGGCGCTTGATCTCCTAGTAAGAAAAAGGTGAACCCCAACCGTCAGCTTTTATCCAAACGAGCTACTACTACTGCCGGAGCAGCCTTCTTCCGTCTCTTTGCATATCCTTCAAACATACCTTCTTCGGGCCACCGGGACCGCGCATCAACCTAGGATCGTGTCCGTGGGGGATTTGATATCTCAAGTGATTCAGATCCTGCGTCATATATGGATTGCTCTGTACTCCCGGCGGGAGGTAGTATTGCATGCCCTGATTGGGCGCCATCTGCATCTGCATCGGCATCGCCTGAGGAGGCTGCGGCGCACTTTGTTGGTAGTGGTGTTCCAGGCTCTTCATGCTCGGTAGAGAGGGAATCGGCGCGCCAGGACTGGCTCGATATGGGTCGGCCGGAGCTTGGTTCTGCTGAGGATGGTAGGCATATTGATTCGGCGGCATAGGACCAGGTGAGGGAAAGGCACTGGGGCTCGGGTAGCCTCTCTGGGAGCCATGAGGGTGCTGGTTATGCGCCATGCCAGGCGAGTGTGACGCCCTCGCGTCGCCGTTCGGCTGACCGTTCTGCTGATGAGGGAGAGGCGCAGGAACTGCCACAGCAGGCGTAGGCGTAGGCGTAGGCTCAGTCGCAGTCGCAGTACCGTTCGTGATGGAGGGACCAGTCGCAGGTGCCGCAGCAGTGGCAGGTACGGACGCGTTCGCAGTCGCGACGGACGGGGTCTCGGCTGAGGGAGTCGGCGTCTCGATGGAGGTCAAGGTCGGTGTCGTGGAGAGGGGAGCGGGAGCGGGAGCAGAAGCGACAGGAAGAGGAGGAGAGGTCGAAGTAGTCGGGGGAAGGATGGAATTAGTAGAGGTTGTCGAGGGATCCGTACTAGGAGCGGCGACGTCGTTGACATCAGGCACAACTGGTACAGGCACAGGCGCAGGCGCAGGTACAGGCACGCTGGAGGTGCTGGCACTGGTGCTGCTTGTGCTGATGCTTGTGGTGTCTTCTTGAGCCATTTCGATTTTAATTAGAAATTTTTATGGAGCCACGATTGGACTTGTGAGGTCGACCAGGGGAAGAGGCGTGGATGGAAGGAAGCAGCAGCGTGGATGCGCAACACCCTGGGTGCAGGTTGATCAGGAGCTGTGCCTGGTGCGTGGTCCCTGTTCTCAGCGTCGCGACTCGAGGCGAGATTTTTTTCGTGTCCAGTCTGCTTTGGCCCGACTGCTGCTGCCACTTGCTGCTAGGAGGAGGCGGGAGGGGGTGCGGAGGAGCGGCAGCAGGAGGAGGTGAGGAAGGGTACGCGTAGGGGTGCCTGTGGGTGTGGGCGAAGGAGGGATTCGACTTGGGGTGGGCGCCTTTTCGGACCAGTGTCGTCAAGCAGCAGCGCGGAAGGAGGTCTTTTCGGGACCGGGACGAGCAGAGAAAGAGAGGAGAAGGCGATTGTGGATGGCCAGGAGTCTCCTGCAGTTCTAGACCCCCCTGTGCTGTGTCGAATGTGCAGTGCAGTGTGTATGCAAATCCCAAGTCCAGTGTGCAAAGCACAGGTTGTCTCGCGCGCAAAGTGGCAGACGACGTTGTTCGGGTGGGTGGTGTGGTGTCGGCCGAGAAGGAAGGCCTGCACTAAGGTTAGGTAGGGAGCGGTGCGCGAATAGGGAGAATCGAGCAAGCCAGAAGGCCCAGATCTGCACAATTTTCGCGCGACGGGTGCTTGGGTGCGCGGGTGCTTGGTGGTGGGAGCAGGACCTGGGATTGCTTGGATGCTGGATGCTTGCTTGGATGAAGGGGACTCGTCTTCCCGTTTCTCGGCCCCAACACTAACAGGCTGTTTCCACGCGTGCGCGCAGGACGGAGGGGCCAGGGGGTGGTCGGGGTACGGAGTATATCCGTAGGTCGACGTCTCTGCGCTTGAGTATCCGTAAGGTCTTTCAGTCTGCGAGGTGTGACTGGGTAAGGTGGTTCCGAATGTACCTGCGCGTACCTTACAGAGAAGGCAAGCCGCAAGAGGGGGTCGAAGTCGGGACGAGGCCAGTCGAGAATAAGATGGTGTCTGGTATTGGTCAGGGAAGGCGGCGTATTGGTGGTGCGAGTGGATCTATCAGAAGGAGGCGGTAGAAGAGGCGGATGGTGTTAAGGGACGAGACCAGGAGACAGCGCGGACGACAGGCAAAGGTACAGGCATTGGATGCCCATGGGTGAGTTTGACGGGGGTGAGTTGGAGTGTCTTCCGTAGATTGGTGGTGGTGGTTGTCGGGGTGGTGCGTGTTGCGCAACGAACGTCCTGTTCTTCTTTTCTTCTCACGGGTGGGTCAGATATTCGGAAAGTGAAGGCGAAGGCGCAGGTTGACGGGCCGGCGAGAAGTCTTGGCCTGGCGGTTGGGACACCCGGTTTGCTGGCTTGTAGCTTGTAGCCTGTACGAATAGGAGCGTTGGAGTGTTTGCTGCCCAGTCCAGTATCCAGGATGGTGGAGAGTGTTTGGGAGAAAGACGCGGGTCAGGGTTGACCGATTGTGTCGGGGTTTGCAGGGGACCGTTCGAGATCAATTGTGGCCGCCACACGTCGCAAAGAGCAATGAAGGAAAAAAAAAAAAGAGGCGGACGGAGTGACGGAACAAGTGGGCGGGTAAAGGGCGGGATGGGGAGGAAGGAAGGAGAAAAAAAAGATTTCGGTGGAATGAGCCAAGCTCAAGGTGAGGAAAGGTCAGCGGGAAGGAAGCTACTACTGAGGTACGGATACTCAGCTATGTACTTAGTGCCACCTTCCTCAGTAAGCTCGGGGTCTGGTGGCCAATCATCAATGGAATTAATTGACTTTTTTCTCTCTCTTCTGCTTCTTCTGTCCCTACTCCGTACACACGTTGCCTTCAAGTTGTCTTAGGTAAGGCAGTTTACTAAGGTAGAGGTACACTAGGTGCGAAGTAGGGACGGTGGTGCTAGATACTAACTAAACTTTACAGAAAGAGGAAAGGACCAGCCGCGCGGAAGGCAAAGTCTAAAGACAAGATGGCGCCAATACGCGCGAAATTCACACCGATTTCATCTGGTAAGGCACGTCCACTGTCCACGTCCATGGCGCCCGCCAACTTTGGTCTCTGTTGGGTAAGTACAGAGTAAGGGTAGGCACTAATGGAATGGAAGGCACAAGCCTCGACTGCAGCTTCCATCTTTGAACTCGGGTTGCTCCTTCCACCTCCAGCTGTCAATTCTCATGATTGGCTCGGAATCACGAGAATGGTACGTAACTAACCTCAAAGGTCACGTCGAGTATCGACGCTCCAAGGATGAGCTGACTTGCTATTGCCTGCCATTGCCTGCCAAAAGGCCGACTTTGACATTGACAGCATCTCGTTTGGGCTCTTTGCAGTCTGCTGCACCACTAGGGGATTTTAGCTCAATGAAAGTCGTCCCGACCTTTCCACTCACGCGAGCCGCCACTGCTCGTCTCGACGCATGTACTCCATGTACCTTTTTATGTATCCAAACCTCACCCCAAGCTCACCTTACCACGAATATTATGCCAGGCATTCAGTTACCTCGACGTGGAAAACTTCCCGAATCGTCCCTCTATCCGGGACACGCCTCTAGCTTGCTCCGACTCTCGATTCAACCGGGCCACTTGCAGCCTTGTTTGGTCCGATGCCCGGGGACATGTCACGCACCTCTATACGGAGCACGGAGGCATCCTTTTCTTTCTCTTCCTCTTCCACCCCAGTAGGGCCATGAGGGGGTACGGATACAACATGTCAGAAGGTGACTCCCGTCCGTCCCCTTGAATGCTTAACCACTTGACACCTTCAAGTTGACACAAGTTAGAAAGAAGTAAGAGGTCACCGGTCAACTCTTTCATAACCTCTAACTTGCCTAGACACACTCAAGAAGGAAACCACTCATTCTGCGACTCGGAAGAGGGTCTCCCCAACTCCTGCCGGCCCCGTGTTGGCCCCCCCCGAGCCTTGACCCAGGTCGCTCAGCGAGTGACAGGCCCGTTTCCTGTGGCTGGAAGCTCGCTGCGAGGTGAATATCGAACCATCCGCCCAGGACCGCCCCCCTCCCCTCCTTCAAACATCCCGGCCCGTCCAATCCCCAGCCGACGGGACAGTCTTAGTCAGATGCCATCCACAAGGCAGGTACGAATAACCTACGACTTTCCGTACCTTCCTCTGTCTTTCTACCACAGGAAGGCAGGTACGGATACTCCGCGCCTTACCTACTTTGCGGATACCCACGAATACTTTGCACCTCGGTATGCCTGCACCAAACTCACAGGTCGCATAGCACAATCAATACTTGTGCAACACTCGTCCATCAAGTCACACCGAACGAGATTCGAAGAGGCAACGTCGCTCATGAAATCTCTTTGCAATGCGACCATATAATTGCCATCTATATTCATCATCAATAATATCCGTTCTAAGAGAAAGCAAAAAGACTCCAATGCAGGCGCGCTGCTGCTGCAATTCCCCGTCGTACACGATCAGGTACTAAAAGGAGACTTGCCTTGCCAGCGCCTCCAGGCTCCGAGGTACTTCTGTCAAAAGTCCCACTACCTCCTTCTCCAGCCACTAATGCCCGTGCAGTAGCTTCGTCTCATATCTGCGTTACGTAAATGGGTACTGAGTCCGCATGTCCCACCGGTTGGTCTGGCCGCGTCTCCTCCACGTACTCTCGCAAATCCGATGCAATTTCAACCTCTCAGCCAAGCCACCGTGGCCACCCCCCATGCAGCAAATCGCTCTTCTCAACGCCTCGTACCGCACCTCTTCGCATGAAGTTGCAATTCCACCAAAGCCACACTCGCAGCAGATCATTGAGGCGCTACCTTGAACTGACCTCATGTTCAATCTCAGCCCTGCACTTTCAAGGCTTCTCCTGCTCTCTTGGGCCGCAGAATATTGACCGACGACATCATCTTCATCGCGGGACGTCGTGAACTTCATTTTGAACATGAGATGACTTCCGCGATCCCTTCTCAGTCCGTCCCAGTCTCCGTTCCTGCGGACACATACCACGGACACATACTACGGATACCCTCTAGTTGAGTCTAGCTTTTGCTGCTCTGCATCGTCATCTTCCAGGCCAAACCCTCCTCAATCTATTCCACTCTATACCATCTCCGGCCCTGGTCTCTCCTGTGCTACCTTGTCCTGTTTGCTCTACTCCCGGTGAGTCCCCTCCTATCATATCCCCTCTTCTCCCCCCCCTTTGTGTTCGTTGACTTTGCAGCTCCCCGTTGGCCCCTTGTTCCGCTCACGCGCCCACGCTCCAAGTAGAGTTCTCGAGACCCGGTGAACCTGCCCGGCGTCCTATTCCAGTCGAAACTTCACATTGCCAATATATCTAGTTGCCTCGGCCAGTGCATACGGCTGTTGTCTGCTCGGTGTCACCAGCCATCATTACTTGCATCGCGTTCACACGTCGACAATAGCATAGCATATGCAAAGAATTGGACACCTGTCATGATGTGACTCGGAGATCTCTAATTAAGCCGTACCGCCCTTCGCACCATAGGGCTCCGGAGCACATGTGAAAGCACGAAGAGGAGTTGTTGCGCCGTTCACATGACAAGTCCTAATAAGAAGACCGCCCGGGGAGATTATCCGTCAATCGATTCCCGTCAATCCCCGTGGGATCTGCTTGAACGTCATCTCAGCAATCGCCCTTCGTCTGTAAGACCGCCGCCAGCCACGACGAGTCGAAAATGACTACCTACGGAGTCTGTACAGACTATTCGTACGGCTGGCTTATTCCGCCATCCCGTCACTGCAAACAAGCACTTCGTTCATCCCGCCCTCTGTCTTGCCCGCCCAGCATGACCCATGCTCGCATCCACACTCGACCAGCATCTCCTTTTCAGCCTCCATCTCGTACCCAATAATGGGGGTTTCCAACACTCATCTCCAATCGTCCGTGCTTCTTCATGCGTCGCCCCAGGGTTGAGAGAACTATTGAATTCCCAAGCTCTTCTTTAGGGAATCGACCATGTACGCAATGCTTCGTCAATCTCATTCGCAATCTCTGGTCACGCAGCTTGCTCCGTCTTTTACCCAAAAATCATCAAAATATCTATGGCTCTTAACGTCCCCACGGTGGTATTGATATAGCCACAGCCGGCATCCATGCCTGCACCATGTCGCGTCGCCTCGCTTCGTTAATCGCCCACCGTTGCAACCGTTCTTTTTACCTTTTCGTTTCCCCGCATATCCGGAGCTTCTACACACTTCCCTCACAAGGTTAGTGCAGACCTTCAGAGGTCATTATTGCCAGCCGAACCAGGTGTTCCCCCCGCCCGTATCGGAGGCCTGGCGACACCATCACCGTGTCTGCACTTTTGTCTCGAGGTATTTCCTCAATCTTTTAAAACGGCATTACCACTACCTATTACATTCGGGGTGACTTCCATTTACGCAAAAAAAGGCCCGATCGCCACAGAGATGTTACGCAATATTTTGCATCTCCCTTTTCTCCTATCCGTACCTATGATGAGCCATCAGAACCTCGACGTAGGTGGACTTTGCGAGGGATTACCACGTCACTGTTGCACCGTGACCCCAGCGTTTGTGCCTGAAGATCCTTTCCATGTTCGCCTGTCCAAATGCCGGATAACCTTGTCGTCTAGCCTCTCTATGATGTATCCTTCAGAGGCTCACTTGGCGAATACCGGAACTACGTTTGCTAAAGTTGGCCAGGTATGACATCAGGCCAAATCGGCATTCAATTGCGCAGCACGGGACTGATGGAATCCTCCCTTCTTCTGCCGGCAAATCCGATCTTTTCATGTTCATCATACGGGCAATGCATCAGCTTAGATATGGGGTTTAAACTTTCTTCTCTGCCTTGCGGATCAAAGAACGTTCGTCTCCATCCTCATTATATTGACCGAAGGAGAGGTCGTTGATCTAGGAGATACTTGGGGGGAGGGTGACTTCCCCTCTCCTCCACACGTAGTACGAAGAATCGACCTGGACAAGTACCTCAGTACCTGGGCTGGTAAGAGGTGGTTGAAGGCATAAAAGCCCGATAGGCACCGACCGTCCTCGTCTGCCTTTGGGTCCAACGAGATACATCGGGAGGCAGTTCTCGCGCGAGAAACTCACTTTTGCGTTGAGCCGTGTGGATGACATTGTGAACGAGGGTTCAGGTTAACGGTTGATATCAGTCATTATAGGGTAGGTATAGACCGAAGGCACCTCAGGATAACACCTCAGTCAACGATAGCTATCGTTATCCGGGAGGTATTTCCCATAGTATACGTCTTTGCGGATGGAATCTGCTCGCTAGTGAACTGTATGTTTAGAACGTCTTCTTGAGTATTCTAAAGAGTGGAACGACTGACATATGAAGGCTGCACACGTTGTTAAGCACAAAGTGGGAGAGATGCTTGCCATCGGCCTTGGGCACTTGTCAACTCAGGCAATAGGCCGATGTTACCTGTCAATGTCAGAATCAGAATCTCGAAATGCTGACTGGTGAGTTGGTGCTTATAGTGTTATCCGCAGGCGAGCAATAATAGCGGCCTTCGACTTTAATGATACTAACGAGGCAAGGGTTAGGTGTATATAACCATAACAGTTGATGTGTGGACTCTTTTTTTCCAAAGCAGCCTCGAACGGGGTACGACTATGGCGTGAAGAACATAGTCCGCCTCGAAAGACTTCGTTGTCGATGACTCCAGAGCAGCTATCATCGAAGCCATCTGTGGCCTCGAGGACTCGCACAGAATTAACACCTACTAGGTCTACTTGTCATGATCCGGCAGGAATTTCTCGTGGTATGTATCTTCCTGTAAGGACTCTTTGAGGTCTTATGTGGACTCTGGTAGGTAGAAATCCCATCACGTTGGGTTAGCTCGCACGTACATCGAAGCTCGAGCAGAATGATGTGGGCACATGGAATCCCATCGTCATCTTCGGTGCTCATTGAATCATCCACAGCAGGAAAAGAGATTCTGGTCAGTTGAAAGCGTGGTTGGGCTTGAGAATCTTCCACATGTTCATCATAAGAGTTACTTGAACGTAATATACGCATGCCGTAGACAGTAAACGGAAAGCAATACCGGACGTTGTGCAAATGAGTCAGAAGACACAGTTCACTTTGGCTTCGCTTGTGCGGGATATCTGAGATGGAATCTGCTCTCTCACGAAAACCACGGCTGCGCCTCCCTAGCACTGCTGCCTTGACTGAGCTGAGGGGTATAAAGGGGTTCAAGTACTCGCTCATCAGATCTAAGACAAGAAATAACGGCATAAACAGGATGTAGAGATCTACCATGATGCTGCAGAAATGAAGGAACAACCATCAAGTTGTCCTAGTTATCTTTGTCCAAGTACTATGCCCAATTGTCATAATCTGGTAAACCCTCCTCAAAGTATACCTCCTCGACGCGGTCGAAGCCCACCTCAGGGGCATCGTATGGCCACGGTTCGCCGTTCCCGCTGGCGAAGAGGGCAAACATGGAGCCCTCAAAGTTAGGGTATCCGGGGTTCGAGCCCATCTGCTTCGAGCTGAAGCTCTTCAGCCACGTGGGCGATGTCGCGTTGCTGCGCGAGTAGCCTAGGGAGTACTCCAGAGGCGACGCACGAATATGAAGTGTCAGGTCTGCAGGGATCGTTAACTCGCTAAGAGGGTACTCGGTTGACTAAACGGAAAGTAGCTAATCAGCTTCTGGACCTCCTTTCCTGAAGGCGGGGGAACTTACATTTGGTCGCGTGGTAGGGCCGGTGGAAGTCGGCAAGAGATCGGTGTACAAACACAGCCCCGTCGTGTTCCAACATCCTCTTACACCGATATCTTGGTGGTTGACTTCACTCAGATACGACGCGATTCCAACCGATTGTCTCGGTCCTAGCCCCGCTGACGTCGACAATAGTCTAGCCGAGAAAGTCATGTTCAACGAAGTCTGCTTTCGAAGCACAGCAGCCGCCGTATCCCGGTCCCCGAGCGTGAAGACGTTGGGATTGAAGACGATACCCGAGTCGTTGGCAATCATCCTCTTCCCAAGACCACCTGCCCCCGCCGTACCCTTGAGCCGAAAGTTCTCCGTGTAAGGTGTGCGTTGCTGGTACCACCCGATCCCCAACTCCGTACCCGTAAACTCGTCGACCCATTTCGCCTTGGGATACTCCTGGTCTGGCCCGTCTACAGTCTCACTCAACAACAGGGGCTTTCCGCCATTCATTGTCGGCCAGTCATCTTCCCAGTCAACCTTTACCAGAAACGCCTCGCGACCAAGCGGTGACGCACCCTTTACATTTCGCCTTGCCAACAGGGAGGCGTACCATTCTCCGTCGGGCGTATTAGTAAACGTCGCATGGCCAGTCGACTGCAACGTAAGCTTCGGATCAGCGCCATTGTAGATGAGCGGGTTCGTAGGGGAGGATTCCCACGGCCCCTGAGGAGCCTTCGAGCGGCCTATTGTCGCGCGGTGGCCGGTACTCGTGCCACCTTCCGCTAGGAGGAGGTAATACCACTCTCCGCGCTTAAACATCTTGGGACCCTCTGGCCTCGCGCTGGGCAGCTGCGGAAGCGTGCCATTCCAGATATTGCGATACGGACCAATGCACTTGCCCGTGGCAAGGTCGATTTCGCACTGCGTTATACCCCACAGTCGGTCGTAGTTGTTATTGGGTCCCATGAGGTTGAGGAAGGACTTCCCTGTGGTAGGGTCGTGAAAGATATCCGGATCAATGCCGTAGGGCTCCGCCCAGGTTAAAGGGGACCAGGTGACGAGGTCCGGAGAGGAGATGTACCAGATGCGCGGCCAGGAGCGGGAATCCGGGTCGGAGCCCCATCGCGTCATGGAGGTGATGTAGAAGAGGCCGTTGTGGTGGGAGAAGGAGGGGGCCCAGACGCCCTCGCCGGCGGAGACGCCGTAGAGGGCGAGGACAGAGGGGTCTTTGAGGGCGTGGGAGACGAGGTCCCAGTTTGCGAGGTCAGTGGACTTATAGATTGGGATGCCCGGGTAGTAGGTGAAGGAGGACACGGCCAAGTAGTAGGTGTCTTCAACGCGGAGGATGGCTGGATCGGGGTTCCATCTGGGGAAGTGTTAGTGAGTTTCGTTCGAGGTGATCAAGAAGGATGGTAGGCTTGACCCTGGGAGTATTGGGTTCTTGATAGCCGATACGACCGCTGCTAGAAGCAAGGCCGCTCTGGCGAGGAGCTTCATCGTGTCAAGTTAGAGACGAAAATCGGTCACTTCCAGCTCGCAGCTGATCTTAAAGACCTACGACAAACGTCGCTGGAGCTCGGTCTCTCTTATACGAACCACCGAAGGAGTTGCTTACCTCCCAACCTGAGCTACCTACTAAGCCGAAAAACCCCTACCAGACTGCAGCCTAGCTCCCGCCCGGTCCTCAGGCCTGTCCGGGCGAACCCCCCGATGCGCGCGGTGACGGGGTCCGCAACGCGGGGTATATCTTCGCGGGGAAGATTGGCCGGGTAAAGCCAGATTTGCAGATGTTGTCTGATCCGGGAGCAGATCCCACCTTGGATGGAGCTGCAGATACCCTGCCAATCACGTCATAGGCATCAAAGTGATAGGCGGAAATGTGTTACACCGTACTCTACACTGCAGTTTCTATCTCAACGTCCTTGGCATCGCCTTTGATTTTGGAATGTTTTCCAACCACGACTGGAATTTTGATTTATATTGTCCTGGAGGGTCAAGCTTAGTCACCTCAATGCAAGGATGACCTACTCGTCGCCGGCACTATGATGCCCATCATTGGACATTGCCGACTGAAGGAGATCGTTTTAAGACAGCTACTAACCCAGGCAAGATGTAGACTGTCTCTCGTGGTATTGACCATTTGCGCAGCTTGGATTTCCGCACTGATTGTCTTGTGCAATATCCTGTTTATTTGGTTCCGTCATGTCGCAACCCGAGCCTTGAAAGTCCTGCAAATACGTGATAGCAATCTGTCTTCTCCAACTTGAAAGGATACCTGCATGCCAGTAGTAGGCATGTTCTCTCGATGCCTAGACCTCTTGATTGGAATCTACCCCCGGCCATTCACAATCACCTTACTTGGTAACAATCGTGGCGGCCTTCTTCCTCATCACCTCGAGCCTCAATTCGTCCTTCTCCATTTCTGCAACGACCTGATTCTTGATTTTTTCCAGGCGTGTCCTGAATCCATCGTCACCTTCATGTTACTTGACAGAGTAACTTTGCTGAAGAACAATGTTGAGAGTGTTTCTGTTGAGTTCTGATAGATTAACTGATGAAATCACCCAGCTTTGTAACAACATTTCTTGGCATACTGAGGTCATTGCATTTGAAGTGAACTTGTAATAGAATAGCAAGCAGTCCACTCAATCTAATCATCGTCAGCTTAGTTGCTCCTTGAAATCATCGACAGAAAACATACAGACGCCTCCAAGCGGACCAACAGCAATCGCGTAGCCTTTGTGCTCGCTCATGTTGCCGGTGACTGACCCAATAAGCTTATTAATGGCCGAGTTGATCGTCGTGGCGAGGCCTTTCATCTGCTCATCTGTCAGCGAGAGGTTGGAAGAGATGTGAGGAGCCACACACAATTTCGCCCTTCACAAAGCTTCCGATGGCAGCATTGATTTCGTCCCCAGTTTTCTCGGCGCCCTTCGAGAAGTTGCAGTACGTCTGGAAGTCGGAGGCTGTAATCTTGTCGACCGGTAACAACTTAGCCCCAGCACTGGCCGTGTCGGACACGATACTCGAGTAGAAGGCATTGCCTTTGGTATCACACAGTGCCTTGAGGGAGTTCAGGGCGTCATTGGCTGTCTTTTTCTTCTCCTCTTGGTTATCGAGGCTAGCAACAAAGGTGGAGATTGCAGCGCCCATGTTTTCAAGAATACTGGTATGACTCTGGTTGGCGACACAGGATAGAACTGGAGTAAGTGATAGGAGCTTCGACTGGCTCTATTTATATTACTTTGCTCGGAGGATATCCTGCTCTGTAAATCAGTTTCTGATGTAAGACTCGTCTCGTTGGGGGCAATCTACATTCGATTTGCCACAGGTCTTCCCACGGCAGTTGTATCGGACCATTCACTGTCACATCTAGCTTCACAGTCGTATGAGACTACTCGAGACATATCCGCATGCAATCCACATGGATAGCCTTCAACTTGCTAGCCACTCAGCTTTCTGCCCAGCATTGAGAGAGTGAGATTGCATGCGTGCTTTCGTTCACTTGAGTCGGAGACCTATACCGCTTTCAATACATCCACCTTCCTCATGAATTAGCCTGTCACGCGCTATCAGACTCAGATGACGCAAATGATTTACCTTGCGAGGTTTACCTGTCCTTAAATGTCCACGAACTGTCTAAGTAACCTTGGTGTAGTTAATTCTTTCAGGCGATGATGCCAAGACTGGACTCTGATGATAGACACCTGTTGAGTGTGTTGCAGATTCGGATTCAAAACATATCTCACACTACATGTATTGTAACCTATTAGCTTCCTACTAGATACGAGCTATTTAGCAGTACAACGTCGCATATTACCTGATACTCAAGCCAGTGAACAATGATTGGCTCTAGAATGTCTGCGTCGCTACATACTAATGAGCCAGCCATATTGCCACCTTGCTGTCGTTGATACTTAGATACTTAAACAAGAATTACAATATAACTCGCACCCAACGTAATTTAAAACTGATCTACTTACGTTCAGCTTTCAACCTATCATCAAATTAGTCCTCTTGGGTGGCAGGCATTTAGACGCCACACTTTTGTCTCATTTCACGCCTTGAATGAGATGTCAGGCCATTCTGAGTCGTTGACACTTCTGGTATAAATAAATAAAAAGCTGAAAGAGTATTGGTGGTGAGAAAAGTGCTTTACCAACTGGTTGAAGACCGGCTTCAGTCGAGACAAGGCTGGAAGACTCAGTAGTGTTCAACTTTATTTGGCCACATCTCTGTCACACAGCCATTATGCGAGCTAGCTATTCAGTCAGTTCTAAATCAGCCGTCCCAGCCTCGCCATTGAGTGTCTCAGTCACCCACCTGCTTGCAGATAGGTCAATGACCTAGAAACTTTGGAATTCTTGACTCAGAGCGCGTCAATCTTGAGACATCTTCGCGCCGAATAAGTATCTCTCTATATATAAATGTAGTCCTGAAGATGTGCTGCCGACGTTGAGCTCTTGCGATATCTAACCGCGATCGCATCTTTCCATTCTCAACTCTCCATTGAAATGGGTACTCGAATCTCTTCAGATGGTGTAGAATACCAGGCTCTCAATGCCACCAGTGAAGTTCTCGCCGAAATTTCTAACACAGCAGTGGACTTTGCTGGAAACCTAGGCAAGCAGATCTACTGGGCACCATCTGAATTTTACCAGCCGCGCAAGGTTTATGTCTACGTTATTGAATTAGACTACATCCCGGATGACGTATGTATCCAAATGAGCTGCTATTTGAACAATATGTATTCTTACATGTTTATCCTCAGATCCCACAGTCTCGAATTGAGTTACTCAAGTACCCCCAATACAGGCCTGAGGAGTTGAGAGGTTCAAACGCCGACTCGCATGGCGAGAAAGTGATAAATATCCTTGCTAGCTTAGGCTTCGGAGTGGCTAGATCGAAGAACATTAAGATCGTTCCAGTACGAGGAACCAATGCCTATCCGCATGATCAAAGATCGAGCACCGAGTGGAAAGGTGCTCTGACAGCTATCGCAAACCACTTCAAGGAAGCGACAATGAAAGGAGTTTGTCATGGAGTTCTAAACTGCAGCAGGGCTCTCGAAAGGATCGGGAATATTGAGGCTGCATTCAAGGAATGTGTCGATGCTGGAATCATTGTCGTTGGAGCAGCAGGGAACCGTGCGGTAGGCCTTCTGCTGAAGATTAAAGACCCCTCATTCAATAGCTAACGACACTACAGGTCAACCTAGACGAGTCAGACAAGTCAAAGTGGCCACTTCCCGAAGCACACAAGGACACTATCTTGATTGGCAATTTGGATGCTCAAGGTAATGTATATACGGAAGTCAATGGCAATGATGGATCGTCATATGGCGCTCGTGGGTTTCCCGGTCCGAATTCACTTGTTTTGCTGCGTAGAAACTGATTCGAGCAGGCGTCGACTATTGGGTACGGGGTGTCAATCTCAAATACAAGAACCTCGGGCCCAAGGTCAGTGGCACATCTTTTGGTATGGTACCCTATCATATTTGTTACATATATTATATCTTACTCGTATGCGTTTTGTTAGCTGACTGATTTTGTTAGCCTGTCCAGTTGCGGCTGGCGTGATTGCTGTTATGCTATCTGCCGGTCAGGTTCCCAGTGGTAAGGTTGCCGATGTGCGTAAAAAGCTTGACGAGTGGGCGGTTCGAAGTCAAGGTAAGGGTGGGCAGTTGAAGTTGTTGCGCAACGCACCGGGCTTGAATAAGTGATTGGATTTATCGGAGGAAATGCGAATGCATTGAATGCACAGTTGAACAAATCAGATCGTTGGGATCAGATCGGCAAGATTTCTTATAATTATCTGTTGCGAACGCAGATTCATAGGCCTGCGTAATGTCAGCGAAATCATGCTGGACGGAAATGAGCTACATCGTTACTCAGTACGGCAGTCTCTATCTCGACATCCTTGGCGCAGCTTTTGCTCGTGGAATATTCACCAGGCGAACACTTTTCATTATTATGTTGACCCGGCCGGTCCTTTCACTACATCAACACCAGCTTCTGCTGAGAGTAAGATGCCACGAAAACGATTTCAACTGTGCTGTGCATTCTAGCTACCTAGATCATAGTGTATTGTGACCACTGTCATAATTACCATGCGTAGATGGTCACCTATATCCAGACATATGTAGAGCCCAACTCGGCGGTATGTCCCGTCTTGCGCCCTTCCAAGTATCAAACCTTGTGAATTTGTCCCCATATATTCTGGCGGAGTTCCATCTTCTACAACGTAACCCAATATGTGGAAACAAATGAAGTCCGAAGGTAAGTCTCTCAACGACTCCATCTCTGCTCAGAGTCGAACATCCAAGGTGTAACGACTTCGTGCATACGGTCAAAAGCTTTGCTTCGTAAGGTGATGTATCCTGACGCGACGGCCCCATGTGGTGCAATGTCAATGAGAGGCTCTACTGAGACAGCGACCACTGGAGGCAATCGTGAGAGACCTATATCACTCGTCCGCGATCTAATTGCCAGCCGTCTATAATCATCGAAGTTGTCGCTATGCGCGTCTTTAATGGGTCGCTGTGCAGCGACAATCATCTACTGATTCTCTCGACGTTAACGCTCGAAGTCGATGTAAGAGCTGGAGTGCAATGATCACATGTGTGACTTGCGGTTGAAAATGATGGTACCCCGACAGGTTGCAAAGATTCCCTGCGCCATGGGCTGGGAAAGTGACGAAGGGCGTAGAATCTATCCATTTCGCAGCTTGAGTTGATTGAAGGATAGCCTCCCTTGTATGGACCTCGAAGTGTCTTCTCTGCACAAAGGAGAGTCAACTTGGGCCTGGTTGGGCGATTTTACGATTTGCTGGGCTTCTTTGGAACTTGAGAGTGGTCGAGAGAAGTCTTAGGCTGCATTAGTACACAGTTGCCTGATCGAATCGGGGCTGAGTGTCTTATTTGGAGGCCGCTCAACACGCGATCCATACCCGGCATGTGTTCAATTGTTCGCGAATACCATGAGGAGCATATCGCAGAAAGTTCTGACTCCAAAGTATATGAATCCTGCTCAGAGCTCAGGTATGGACATTTGACCAACCGAAGTGACAGTAAAAGCATGGTAATGGTCATACTGTATGAGTTTTAAGCTAGTATTTTCAGTCTATATACCCTATGCTGACCGTTTTCTTGGATGATCCGAACGAGACTTGTTGGTGAGATGGGTTTACACTGTCAATAGTCAGTAACTGCACGAGCGAAAGGAAACCAGTGTTTGAGGTGGGCTCGGCAAGTGCATGACCTTCAATGTCTACAGTGCAAGCAAGAAGAAGATACTTTTTACGATCTAGTGCAGTCTGCCTCAAAAGTGGTTGAGTTATACAACGCCATCACTTTGTTTTTTTTCCTTTGGCTAATTTGAAGTGCGGCCTATCGACTATTCATCAGTCCACGATCCGCAAGGAGCTTTCAGGACACTTATCTGCCTACGCCTAGGGTATCATTGACTGCCCTGAATTCACAATGGCTACGTTCGCAGAACTAACACAGAGCAACGTTAGAAGTATTCTGAATGAATATAGCAAGTTCGTATGGCACCGCCATGCGAGATTAGCTCATTGGCCAAATAGTGTATCCTGTGTTAGTTACCTTATTGACCTCGAGCACAATAGTCCCTGAACCCTGAATGACTTCATTGTGCCCCACTTGGGTGGATGCTAAACTCTATTCTCAGCTGGGTATACGGAGTAATGTCAAGACATTCTGTGGTCTATTCTGCTTTGAACAGCCCAACCAAGTATGGAGACTCTGCTGTGAGTAATAAATTACTCAAATGTCTTACTTTACAATATCATAAACCACTTGGCAAGCAAGTCATATTGGTGACCAAACGCAATGCAATGTGAGGGCCGCCAGTACCCGCCGGCGCCCGATGTGGTGTTAGTGTCTCAGTGTTTGTCAGGCCGATAAGGCGCTCCGGGCGCCGTCGCAGGTGCCCACCGCCTCCTCAGTGACATCGTCGGAGCTCCCCGCGACTCCTATTAGATAAGTGCGGAGTCGCCCTACTTGGCCTTTGTCGTCGTGCATTCATCGACCAAGAGGGTCTCTCACCAACTTCATACCTATTTTTACACTTTAACTTCATCAGATCAATCACAATGGATTCCGAAGTCAAGTACCTTCTCTCCCTGCGCGCCATCCGGGAGCGGGCGAAGATCGTTGGGGATGTCGCCAAAGCCGGGAACTTGAGCCACTTTGAGGTTCGGGAAGATAAGCTGGATGAGGTGGTCGATTTCGTGGCTTCAGTTATCAAGGTCGGGACTCATTCTTCTTTTACTTCGAAACCTCATGCCGCAGGTCTAACATGAGGTCTTTGTAGCGTGATTACGGCCCAGACAAGTTCCATACAATCCCTCCTCACGGACGTTGGCAGCACTTTGAAGTCGGAAATGTGCCCCGCATTACGAATATCATAGAAGAGTGGAAGGCACACGGAAGCGACGAGACCGAGGTTACCCGTCGCCTCATTGACCTATTCTTCGTGTCTGTGCTATTGGACGCCGGAGCAGGTGATCATTGGCGATACAAGGAGCCCAAGGCCGACCAGATTTATGAGCGGAGTGAGGGCATCGCCGTAGCCAGTCTCCACATGTTCAACGCTCTGGCCTTTACAACGTCAACTGACAAAGCCAACCCTATAGTTGATGGTAACGATTACAATTCTAAACCCAAGGCATCTTCTAATTTCTTTTTCTCACAGGAAAGGGTTTGGAGCGCTTGGAGACAAGTGCACTGGCAGAGGGCTTCCAGGTTTCAGACAGCAACCCCATGCTGGGAGTTGACTCTCGCGCCGGTCTCCTCCGGAGCCTCGGAAAGTCACTCCTGGAGCATCCTGAAGTTTTTGGATCAGAGGGCCGTCCAGGCAACCTCGTTGGTACGTTTAATACCACTGCCTCTGAGAAACTGACAGACTGCTAATGACGAGTAGACTACCTGGTCAAGTCCGCCAAGGGGTCCTCCAAAATCGACGTACTCTACCTCTGGGACATTCTCCAGACGCTTTTAATTCCTGCTTGGCCCAAAGATCGCACAACTATTGGAGGAACGCCTATCGGTGATGCCTGGCCGTTGAGTACTTTAAGCAAGGGAGCAGAGGCCGGCAGTTCCGACTCCCCTGCGGCCGGCATTCAACCCTTCCATAAACTGACACAGTGGCTCACCTACTCCCTGATGGTCCCATTCCAACGGGTCCTCGGTCTGGACTGGGTCAATTCTGACTCTCTCACGGCCTTGCCGGAGTACCGCAACGGCGGCCTGTTCGTCGATATGGGTGTTCTGGCCCTAAAGAAGGAGACGCTGGAGCGAGGCCTGAAAGCATCGGGTAGCGAGCTGCCAATGTTCGAGGCTGGTGACGATGTCATCGTGGAGTGGAGAGCCATGACGTTGGTGCTGATTGATAGTCTCTATGGCAAGATTCAGTCTCGCATGGGAGAGGGTGTCCAGTTGAGCATGGCACAGCTGCTTGAGGCAGGAACATGGAAATCTGGGCGCGAGACGGCAGCAAAGTTCCGGCCACAGACTAAGTCAAGCCCTATCCTCATCAAGAGCGATGGCACTGTCTTCTAGGGCTGAGTGGATGATGGTCCATCAAGGCAGGGCGGTCTGCTAAAAAAAAAAAGGGAGCTGGCTCCAAGCTTGCTTAATTTGGTAGAGGGACTAGTCGAACCCGCATACCCGTGATTCCAATTGCCGGAACATGCTTGCTTCTCTCGATGCTAGTAGAAGCAGAGTGATTGGTCCTCGACATGGACAAAGGAGGGGAAACTGGAAACCTGTGGCTTGTTTAGATTCAAAGATCGTCACCGTGGCGCGCACCGTCTCCAATAATCGTGGCGCTCCAATCCCCCAGATGCTCAGCTTGGCTTCGTGGGGTGGTAGACCAGCAACCAGAATAATATGATGCTACTGGATGCTGCGGATTATCCCATGGATGCGAACCTTTCCGTGATGCATCTTCTCCTCTGCGCGCCAGCCTCCAATCTGAGATCAAATTTCATCCCAGCATGAAGCTGCCTTTCCGCGACCTTGTCTACTCATTACACACAGCGACAGATGCGGGGGACTTTGGCTACCAGCCAAGCTATGATGTTCCCTGTATCAGGGACGGCATTTGGAGAATCGGCTGCGGACTCGATAATCTGCACTGTCCATGTGACACAGACAAACAGGAGGCCATGGCATTGGTCCTGATATCATGTTTGGTCGCACGCACACCAGCAGATATTTCAAGCAAGTTCAACAACCAACCTCCCAATTTCTTTACCATCTGACAAGCTGACTTTGACAGGAGCTCGAGATACTATATTATCAGCCTGTGCTCATCTATCCAAGAGAAGACTTCCAACCACCGGACCCTTATCCGTCTCCAGCACACCAAGAACCGTTGAGGTTGCAGTCGAGCAGTCTGTATCGGCAAGACATGCTGCTGCTAGCCAACAAGACCAACTTGGAGAAACCGTATCAACAAAAAGTGGTATTTCGACTGGAGCCATAACAGGTATTGCTGTTGCAATTGTGGCGGCCGTTCTCCTGGTACTAGCCTTGGTATACTTAGGACGTAAGAAGAGGAGGACTATCTTTGAAGAGGCTGGATACGGCGGTGAGACTGCAACCGAATTGACCGGGAAGCGCAGCCCAGGGCATGGAACAAGGACAGAGAGGACTATATCTCGGGAAGCACCATCGTCGGCCCACTGACTCAAGAACTTTGAATCTGGACAGCTCAAGAGGCCTGTTATGGGGCAGCTATTAAAGGGCAGGGGACCGACTTTCACTTAGTCTATCGATGGACTACCTCAACTGCTTCCAGGACTCAATCGCTGGGCAGAGGGCATATCAATTTGGGTAGTTGGCGAGGGAATGAGGCAAAGCTGTAGTGTGTATCGTACAACAGGTCTGAGAACAAGACGGAAGATCGAGTATTGTTCAACAAAGATAATTTGCATGGGGGGCTGCACGTAATATCGGCCATGAGAGCCTTGCCTTGAAGAGATCGAAGCAATGATAGTTGACCATCACCTTCAAATACGCCCCAAACAGCTGATGTCGAGCTGCGAATTCCCTAAACGAAGTAGTCCTACGTCAAAGCAAGATGAAGTAGTGGTACAGCCTATACATCACAAGTTACCAAAACAGCAGCAGGTTGAAACTTGAAAGAGCATTGTAAAGAGGAACAAAAACTTCGAAAGCCAAGTCTCGAACGATTGCTATGACCGTGGCAGGGCTCGAACCTGCGATCTTCTCGGGATCAAGTGCACATGATTGTGAACGAGAAATCATAATCCACTAGAACACACAGCCGGTTGACGATGGTGTATATGTGGCCGTTTTGGGTCTAAAACGAAAACGCTGCAGGTCTCCGAAGTGGAAAGCTACTCTTCAGCCGTTTTGGTGTTGGGACTCAATGGGAGGTTACAAGTTGTCTGCATGATCAGGGACATACGGGAGATGGTCGAGAAGGAGTGATATCATTCGAGGCCAAGAACTGTGTTATAGACCATAGCTGCGATGCCATTCTTGGTGGCATTTTTGCCGATCATGACATTCTCGCATGAGCTCAAGTTAGTGTGATAGTGTACAAAGTCTTGCAGTCAAGAAGTGGGCTTCTTCTTATTTTTGTTCTGAATCAATTTGCCCATGTAGCTCTCTTGAAGTCACAGATAGCTTAACTCTCCACTTACACTAGCATCCCAATAGAAATATATCTGAAGGTCTGTTGGAACTAAACGCAAGATGTCATAGTCATACAGAAACATCTAAGCTCATATGCCAGCGCGAGTCAGGGAACAACGCCGGAGAGAGAGTGCCAACAAAATTTTAGCTAACTAATCGTTCAACATTACGAATGACTGCACAATACAATCTCCAAGTCATACTACATTATATAATGGTAGTCTATTGTATCAATTTGACTTTCAGCCCTGTCAACGCCAAGTACGCACAACGCTGAATGAGGCCAAATCATGCTCATCATTCCCACCTCTAATCCAACGCGTTTGCGTCCTTAAATTAAAGAGGGCAGACAGCTCCAGTGCACAGATCAAAGCTATCCGTAAAAAATTGCTGAACCCCGTAATCTTGGTATTCATGAATCAGACTGATCATTGATGCGGGCTTCGGCTTACTCCTTAAGAGGCCATATGCAGTTACGACACGGGCCTACGGCGACGCCTTAAAGTCCGCACCTTGTACGTTTCCACTTGCAAGCTCGGTTTCGCATCTAAGTCACTTCAATTGAATGAAAGAATGGATACATGTACACGCAATTAGTCTTGGGCTAGGACACCGTTCGAGGTACTTTTACATATGTTGGTAGAGAGCAGCAAACTTTTGTACCCAGCTCACCCGCAAGCTGGCCAATCTTCTTACGTTTTACAACTCAAGCTACACAGCGAGTTTACTCATACCTCCATTCATTCGTTCCTCACCATGTTGCCATCACTGCTCTCTTTAGCTGCTCTCGCCACCATCATTTCGACGGCTCATACCGCTCCGATGCCGGCATCATGCCGCCCGACTTCGAATACTGCTGTTGGCTGGGCCATGTGCTTTGAACCCTCTGTAGGGTGCGACCCAGGCCAGAGGTTTGGAGAGTACATTGCGAGAAACATCCGACACGAGAAAGGCATCTGCACGACGACAGTTGAGGTGAGTTGGCCCTTGGACTTTGGCTCGGATCGATTGCTGATTTCTGGTCTAGTTCACTTGTTGCACGAAGTGAGGTGATCGTAAGGAGAAAGAGAGTGTTGCTTGATGCAAGTGGGCTCTTTGGGGAACCTGGCCAGTGATGGCTGGTTCCGCGAGCTTGAAGCTGCACCGAAATACATACACTTACATAGGGAGGTTTTTGAGAATGACTTATTTTTAATACCATTTTCTTGTTCTACTTCCACATCTGTTACACCCTTCCGACTCACCGCAGTTGCGCTACCTCCACGTTTGACAGGCAGGCACATTCAGCTATGCGAAACATCCAGTCATGAACCGAACCGCTAAGCTGTGCAGGCTGCTGTAGCTTCGGCCATCACAACATCTCTCTTGCTGTTGTCTTTGAATCCTGACTGAAGAGGCAACCCATGGAATGATTGAGTTTCTGGTGAAGTATTCGGTAAAGGTTGCCAATCACATCTGGCGCAGAACGCCACATAGTGCATATGTCCATTTCAATATCCAATGACTCCCGTCGCCGCCTTATCGCGATGCAGCGGCACTCGTCCTCATTGGCCCCGTACTCTCTGCACCCTGGTTGGTGGTGGTGATGCCCTGCTTCAGCTTCTAGCTCTATGCACCGCCGGTAAGGCGCACCCGGCGCGTGCCGTCAACGCGGGGGTTCAGCTCCCCACGGCCACGCTTTCGTGTGATGGTGTGTTCGGATGTTCCCTCATGATGGCAGTGCAACTTTTATAAAGGGTTCGCGAGTTCCCGTTGTTTTAGGGAGAGCTTTGTCGAAACAATCCGAAACTCCTTTTCAGTAAGCAAAAGAACCATTAGCAAAGCCCGCAATCATGCAGTATAGTCACGTCCAGCCACGCCCATGACCATCTCCGTCGTAACCTATCTCCTCCTCTCACCTCTCTCCGCAGCAGCGACCCCTCCCTCATCAACGACCAACTGGGCTCCCGAACCAAACGGCCGCGGCACCTTTGGCCTAATCTGCTCCTGTGTCCTCACCCTCACAATATGCGTCTGGACGGCCCTCCACCTCAACGTTCCCGCCGCGCGCTCCACCCTCCGGAGCCGATCATCAGAACGGACAAAGTGGGTCCTTTACGGGATCTTCGCGCCGGAGCTGGTGGTCGCTACGGCGGCGGCGCAGTATATCGTCGCGAGGTGGCTCAAGAGAGAGATTGAGAAGGATGCTGTGAATCGGAAGGGCGATGTAGATGGGGCATCTACCTATAGAGAGGGGATGGAGACGTTTTCGAGGCATACTTGGGACATGACGCAGTGTTTCTATGCCGTGATGGGTGGATTCGTCGTCAATGTGCCGTCTGCCGAGGACGAGACGGCGCTGAGAGGAGTTACGGTCACGCCGGAGGGTATCAGGCTACTATCATTCATCGGCAAGCTGCCGCGTATTCACGAATCGCAGATCCAGGATAAGAGCAAGGCGGATTGGATGGCCAAGTCACTTGTCTGTATACAGGCTGGGTGGATGGTCGCCCAAGTCGTCGGCCGTCTCATCAAGAGACTACCAGTCTCGTTGCTCGAGATCAACACCTGCGGACACGTTGCTTGCGCTGCGCTGCTGTATCTGCTCTGGTGGAGCAAGCCCCTGGACGTGCTCGACCCCACCATCCTGGACGAGGGGAACGAAGATACGATGGCATTGATGATGTTTTGCTCGTCAATGAGCGCCGTCGACGGTGTCACTGAGATCCGGTGCTTCATGTACATACCACCTGAAGACGCGGGCACGGAAGGGGTCCGAAAGGAGAACAAGGACAAGATCCTCATCACGACTCATCTATCCATCGGCTCACCTGGTACCAGGGAGCCCTCTAGATTTCTCGGCTTCGACGTAAGTGACCTTCGTCCCTACTCGTCGCCAGTGGACGTCGACATTCAGCGAAAAAGAGTATCTCGGAGCGCGTACATGTACCACATCGACCAGGCGAAACCGACGGTGTCCTCGGAATGCCAACAGACATACTTCGTCTCACCCTACACCGAGCTCAGTCTTCGGCACGGTACGATCTATTGTCGAAGGCTCTTTGCCGATGTTCAACGACATGAGAAACCTCACATGCCTGTCAATCCAAGACGATTGGCGCAAGCTGCAACGGCCACGGATTCTCTCTGGGTAGAATGTATTTCCCGCCCGACGTATGCTCAATTCTACTTCACTTCCGTGCCAACCGTTGGCGTATTCCTCGGCGAGACGGATTACCTCGTTCCGCACATCGTCAACTTCCCATCCATGTCGAACCTCGGGCTAGGTCAAGTCAACATCCACCGCGACGTCCTACGGTCTGTTCTCGCCCTGACGGCAGCAGCGTACGGTGGCCTCCACCTCGCGGGCTGGCTTGACCACTTTCCAACGACGATAGAACGGACACTCTGGCTGGCTGCATCGCTGGTGATCACATCCTCGGGCGTGGCGCTGTGGGTCTTCTTCCTTGCTCGACAGCTTTGGCCGCGGTTTGACGTGTTCATTTCTGGTGCGGCACCGGGGGCGCAACTGGCGGGGACGACGTACCAGAAACCGTGGATGAAGAGAGTAAAGTCATTTATTCTTTGTTTTGTGCTGCTGGTGTGTGTTGCCGCGAGGGTGTTCTTGGTTGTTGAGGCGTTTATCAACCTCCGCGAGGCTCCTGCGTCATTGTATGAGACTCCGGAGTGGACAGATTTCTTTCCGCACTTTTAAGAATAGAAATTGTGAATACCTAAGAGCTGCACGCTGTAATTTTGGCATCGCCCACCGATCCGAGAGCAGATGGCAAGATTTGGGAGGTATTGACAAGTAGAACTATTGTATTTGAATAGGAAAACGGCGTATAAGCCTGTGGTGATGACCTCGTCGCGTTGATAAAACGCCTACGTGCATTCGTTGGGGATCTTCTGATATCGAGGTAGATCTTCGATCAACATAGGAAAGGTACTACTACTAGTGTGAAGCAAAAGTGAAAGTGAGGTAGGATTTCTCCGCGTCAAGTCTTGAATTTCCATCCCTCAATGAGTCGGGCAATTTTCAGGTGACCTTTCTGCCTGGCGAGACCGGCAGCAGTGCCCTGGCGATACTTCGCTTTCGTTTTATAGTCTTGGAGAGACTCGAAGACGGCGCTGGCATGAACTAACCTCGCACCATGGTGTAGCAACAGCTTCACTGTCGCATACTGACCCTTGACGGCCGCATAATGCAGCGGCGTTGCGCCATGGTGATCGCGTTCGCGAACATCTAGTCCAAGGTCCATCAGAAGCTTCATCATAGCGGGATGCGCCGTGCCGTAGAACATCAGGTTTGCCCCTGACATTGACCGAGCTCTGAGATACGCTCCGGCGCTGATGAGAAGTCGCACAGTGGCGAGGTGCCCTGCCTTCACGGCAGAGAAGAGGGGGGTGAACCCTGGCCAGGTTCTAGTGTCAAGGTCGACGCCCGTGTTGATCATTGTCGCGAGCACATCGTTCTGTCCGTAGTGGGCTGCAAGATGTAGCGGCGTTATGCTAGAGTTTCGCAACAAGGGAGTCGTAAGGTCTGCACCACCTCGGATGAGGGCCATCGCAATCCGCGTATTGCCGGCTTTGAGCGCCTGGCATATGATTCTCTCTGCCCCGGGGGCGGAGTGATCTACGTCAGCACCGACCTCAATGAGATATTGGGCTGCCTCAAAGCACCCCAAGTGCATTGCAATTGTGAGAGGAGTCTCTCCATGTTCTGTCGTCGGATCAATCTGCGATCCGGCCTTGAAAAGAAGTTGCAGCACCTCAACTCGGTTCTTATGGGCTGCCATGTGAATGGGCAGGTACCCCTCGCTGCCAGCAGCATCAAAGTTGGCACCCCGAGCGAGGAGAAGCTTCATGGTACGCAAGTCTCCGGCTGAGGCAGCCGCGAGCAAGGGAAAGTTGCCCTTCGAGCTCGGCAAGTTGACGTCGGCCCCGGCCCCAATCAGCACCTCGGCGATATCCGGACAAGCTGTGGCTATTGCGTACGTGAGGGCGGTATGCTCGTTGACTCGTCGGTCGAGGTAGGCGCCCTGATCTGAGAGGAACTCCGTCATGGGGCTGCTTCTCATGGATATGGCGACATGGAGTGCCGTTCTGCCGTTTTGCAATCGGGTTTCCAAATCCGCACCGTATTCGAGTAACTTTTCGATAGCATTGAAGCGGTAATTCTGTACGGCTGCTATCAGAGGCGTGCGCGTTCCCAAATCTCTGCGGTCAACCTCACCCCCGGCACGTATGAGCACTTCCAAGGTGTCGTCATCTTTGGCCGACATCGCGGCGTAGTGTACTGCCGAACACCCCAGTGTATCAACGGCATTGACATCTGCACCAAGTTCGCATAGTAGCGAGACGACCTTATCGGAGTATCCGTACTTAATCGTCGTGATTAGGATTGTGTCGCCCTCGTCTCCCCGACTCTCAAGATCAGCTCCAGCGATAGCTAGGAAAGTTACGAGAGATGGAATCTGGCGACTGAGGGCTCGGCGAAGAGGACAAAGTTTTGAGCCGAAGCGAGGTGCATTCGGGTCAATGCGCTGCAAGAGGAGCTTCACCACGGCGGCTTCGTCCCCCCGATCGATGGCATCATGTAAGTCCTTTGTTGTTCGCATGCTTTGCTTGTATAGTATGCCTGGCGGCGGTCTGAGTCTCTTTAGAGCCGAACGAACTTCGAAGGAATCGTTGACGGGTGTAATGTCTGCCTCTGGCCTTGGTCGTGGGCCAATGGTTGACAGGCGCAGTCTACTGCCTTTGTTGAGTACTGCCGGGCTGATCGCACAATCCCATGAGACTAGGCGGGATGAGTGCATGAAAGTAGAGTGATTCTTGGATGTCACATGTTCGCTATTTCGGTGAGCAACGTTCGCGTTACTGGTCCGAGTTTGACATACCTTGGAACACAATTAAGGAGAAATGTAAGAGATTGACGGTTGGTCTTGAGTTGGCGTTGAATCTGCCTGAGAGAGTCTTCGTTCCAAATGATGGTAATCTGACCCGAGGACATGTCGACGGCACTGTCGCTCGTCGCCGGGCGTATTCGCATACTGTAGAAGTCGAGAGATGACAATTCTGTAGAAATTGAGTCCAAGGCATCCTGGCAGGATTGATCGAGGAGGACCGGGTCAAAAACGAGGGTTTCCGGTATCGTTTCGCGCAGATACTTGAATCGCCGTAGAGTATCCGTGACAGCACGACACTCCTTGGCAAGATCAGCCAGCGTCACCGGTGCCGTATTGAGACTATTAGCCACGGTGCTGTATCGGTCGGTTAGAAGCTGTGATGTGCGTATCAGGTCGGCCAGGCTGATGCCGGGCTGGCGTCCCGGGGAGTCCATGACCGGTCACCTTAGCAGGTGGACATTTCTATGCGGAATTCCATCAGGATCGGAGAACAGACCCGTCAACCTTCAAAGTTGGGAGGAAACACCCTCTTTTAGGTTGGAACAGAAGAGGGATAATGGGGAAACATGTCGCGGGGCCAAGGAGCCAAATCTGGCAATGGCCCATTCCTACGACGAACCAGTACCAAACGGTTCGCACCCGATACGGTATTTGGGGCGATGCTAGCCAGGGGAGACTATTGAGTGCAATTTGGCGAGATGAAGAACAGGCGAGCCCAGAAATCCGGGAGCTTGTCAGGGCATGGTGGTCACGCTAGGACAGAGACCCTCGAGAGGATTGCTTGGAAATCGCATCTTCGAGGATGACACGACGGATAGAATATCAGTTGGTTGCAACCACGAAAGAACGAAAGTCGAAACACGCCAGGCTCGATGCTTCAGGCGGCTATATTGAGATCAACCGGGAGATGATGGCCGGCTCGTCATGAAGGTGGAAACATCGCTCGAATCCCACGTCTCCATATTGGTAGGGTTGCAAAGGACAAACCTTGACATACGCTAGACGTGGGTAGGGATGAATGCATCGTCGTCCGTGTGCTTCCCAGGGGTCTGGATGGCATCCGTGGGTTGATTCAACTTGAGGGCAGAAGACGCGGTTGACGCTTGTCATAAACACCGTGGCGAAATAAAGACCGATCTCGCGGGGTTGAAGATTGCTATTTATTGCGTGGCTTCTGGAACTATCGAAATCTGACAGGGCGCTAGAAAGCAATGTCTGCGTGGCTCTGGAGCAGGATGTCTTGACTTTTGGTGTTGGGTCTGAGCGGGCACACGTGGGTGGATTGTCGAGAGTCTGCGGGAGAGAGAGACAAACCAACCACGAAGAAAGTTGATCCCTGAATTCCCACGTCGAAGCTTGGACCACGACGGATCGTGGGTCCACATCCGTAAAGCACAGGCCATCTGTTCCGTACCGAGGATCTTCCGCCGTGGCTCCACCAGGACATTGATAGCACGTGACTGGAATCGATAATTTCGTGTGGGTCACTTGACGGGTGAGTGATTGGTCAAATAATCAGCACCAGTCGGAGCTCTTCCAATGCTCCCGCCCTCAAGGATACGTACCTTATCGCTGGGTGTCCCCGAGCTTTCGAGCTTACTTACCTACGGCTCCCCGTCGACGTAATCGAGTGTACGGTGACCACCACATCAATAGCTCTCAGTCTTCCGACCTGACATGTTGATGCATGTCGAACAAGAGCACACAAATTTGCTATTTTCTGAAACAAGAATTTCTACATAGTAACATCCACGCTGGCGAACATACTTTGGAAGAAAGAGTCGTCATCCGCGGCGACCGGCGCAATCCCCTCCAACCCTCCGTCTGGCGACATCATGACCCAACCGCCAGCTCAACCGCATCTTACACCCCAGTTCTGCTTCTCGACAGGATCTTTGAGGGGTGAGTTCACCAACGCCAGTGAATTTATGTCCTCTTGGCACTAATACACTCTTCAAGACTTTTTACGGCTGTCTCGCGCCACCATTGACGACTCGATCACCCAAAACCTCAATGCCCTAGTAACACCCGCGCGAGCCGGCTTCGACCCGACGTCGACCTCACAACGAACACCGCGTTCCTTTCCTCGACAGATAGATCCGCAGGCGTGTCAGAACTTCAAAGACCAGGTGCTCTTCCCGACATGGCATGCGCGAGCTGAAGTTCTGCACTACTGCGGAGTGGTCGCCACAAGCCCAGACCCCGACGATCCAGAGGCTCTAGTCCAACAGATCGAGGCCGCCAAAGACAAGGAGCGAATTGTTGACGAACGTCTGGATCCATACTCTGGGCGATTCTTCCCTCGGGAGCCTCGGACAGAGCAGCTCGCGATGCTTATTCGGCAGGAAAAGGGCGTGGAGAATATTGTGCGGACGAGAACGTGGGATATGGTCAAACAACGATGCGGCGAGTCGGCAAACACGTGGGAGGAGGCTCTCGTGGGCTGGCGCTCAAGAGCGGCCGTGAAAGGCGATGGTCAATAGGTCGGCGAACACATTGTTCTCAGCGGCTGGACCATTATTGTATATATGTACACCATGTACCTGTACCAACCATGTACCACAATACCAGATGATTGACGATAGATACATACAACATAACACCAAAGTAATTCCGAGCCTTTGTACTCATCTGAGAAGAGGCGTAGTGATAGGGACAGGAACCGTAAGGAATGTGAAATCTTGCGCCTCAAGGTCCTAGAGATGATACAAAATCTGGCCTTGATCTCAAGGTATCTAACTACCTCATCAACTCACCGTAGTTCATGGCATGGGGAGAATGTCTTGTCTGTGTTTTCCATCTTCATTCACTCAACCATGATGGGCATTATGAGATCACCAGTACTGGCAAGGACAGCTCGACAATGAATCCACCGTAGATTTTTTTCGGGCCCGATCAAGGCTGTCGAATGCTTTTGTCTTCTGGAACCGCTCAATCCGTCATGAATGATAGTACACATCTCAGAAATCTCAGCAGCGCAAAGGAACACGGAGCTGTAAACGGTACTTGGTGTCGAGGATTCGAGACTGACAGACCATCCCCCACTAAAACGGTGGATAGGCCGTTCCTGAGCGGGACGTGCGCAAAAAATGCAGCCACTGGTGGTTCGATTTAGATGCGGTGAAAACGGACGTGATGGGACCGGGCTCAGGTCTGCCCCGCCAAAAGCCCGCCGTCCCGCCAAACGGTCAGGCCCAGTATCGTACGGATGGATACAGTGGTGGCGGTCGCTGCAGGGCGAAGACGGCGCACTGAGCCCCCATCGAGGGCAGCCAGCTCAGCCTTGGAACAACTGTGTGGCCAGAGTCTTCCATCCAGAATCCCACCCGTTTACGTCGAACCTTTGTGAACACTTGCAGCTCCGTTCGTGGACTCGCACACGACCAACCTTTGACTTTCCACCCCACGCTCTCGAAAAGGTACGAGTCCTCGGTCCCCGACACAACCGATCTCTACTCTTTGCATCTTATCCGTCCTCTGCTTTTTCCACCAAGTCAGTGGCTCACTTCCGTCACACGACTGCAGCAGCTACCCCTCCTTGACCTCCGAGGACCCCTCCAGACAAACTGCTGCGGACCAGCCTTCCGAAGAGTTTGCATCTCTAGCGACTTTTGGGATCTTCTCAGCGTTGCGAAACTCGGGTTCTCCTCGACGACTCGATATTCTTTCCCCTACAGCACCGGCGATTCGATCTCCGGCCCATTACCGATCCGATGCCGCAACCTCTCAATTCGAAAGAGGCTTCTCTCTTTCGCGCCGTTATCCGCGCCTATGAGGACAAGCAGTACAAGCGCGGTCTCAAGTCCGCCGACCTCATTCTCAAGAAGAACCCCAAACATGGCGACACAATGGCCATGAAGGCTTTGATCATGAATGCGCAGGGTAAGACAGAGGAGGCCTTTGCTCTGGGTAAGGAGGCTTTGACGGTGGACATGAAGTCGCACATCTGCTGGCACGTCTACGGCCTGCTGTACCGCGCCAACAAGAATTTCGAGGAGGCTATCAAGGCATACAAGTTCGCTCTGAAGCTCGAGCCCGAGTCAACGCAGATCCAGCGTGATCTTGCCATTCTTCAGGTGCAGATGCGCGATTATGCCGGATACATCTCAAGCCGCACTGCCATGCTGCAGGCCCGTCCCCAGCTGCGCCAGAGCTGGACTGCGCTGGCTATCGCTCACCACTTGTCAGGTGACCTGTCCGCCGCCGAGAACGTCCTCACCACCTACGAGGGAACGCTGAAGTCCACGCCATCCCGTAGCGACTACGAGAACTCCGAAGCCGTCATGTACAAGAACACCATCATTGCCGAGCAGGGCGAGTACCAGAGAGCTCTCGAGCATCTCGAGAGTGCCGCGAAGCATAATCTTGACAGGCTTGAGTACTTGGAGCTGCGCGCCAAGTACTTGGTCAAGCTGGGCAAGAAGGAGGAGGCTATTGCCGCATGGGAGGCTCTCGTTGAGCGCAACGCCGACCGCCCTGCTTACTTTGAAGGCCTGGAAAGCGCTCACGCCTTTTCCGACAGCGACGCTGCTGCCAGAAAGGAGGTTTACGAAAAATACGCCAAGAAGTTCCCACGTTCGGATGCTCCTCGCCGCCTACCCCTGAACTTCTTGTCTGGTAAGTGTGAGCATACGTCTTTGTACTCACAGGGGCTAACACGAGCAGGTGACGACTTCAGTGCTGCAGCAAAGGAGTACTTGACACTCATGTTCAACAAGGGCGTTCCGTCGACTTTCGCCAACCTGAAGCACTTGTATTCCGACTCTGCCAAGAAGGAGGCCCTCGAAGCTCTCGCCCAGGACTACCTTAAGTCGAGCTCGAACTCGGAAGCTACCAACGGCGATCGCTCCAAGGGAGAGGCCGCTGCTCTCTACTTCCTTGCCCAACACTACAACTACCATCTCAGCCGTGACCTCGCCAAGGCTCACGAGTACGTCGACAAGGCTATCGAGAAGGTTCCCGACAGTGTCGACTTCACCATGACCAAGGCCAGGATATGGAAGCACCAGGGCAACCTGCAAAAGGCCTCTGAGACCATGGACAAGGCCCGAGCTCTGGATACCCGCGATCGTTACATCAACACCAAGGCTGCCAAGTATCAGCTGCGCAACAACGAGACGGAGCAGGCGTTGAAGACTGTAGGCCTCTTCACCAGGGCGGACACTGTTGGCGGCCCCCTCGCGGATCTCTTGGACATGCAATGTGTCTGGTTCCTGACCGAAGATGGCGAGGCCTATGCCCGTCAGGGCGACGATGCCTTGGCCCTTAAGCGCCTCCACACGGTTCACAACATCTTCGACGTCTGGCAAGAAGACCAGTTCGATTTCCACAGCTTTTCCCTGAGAAAGGGCCAGATTCGCGCCTACGTTGATATGGTCCGGTGGGAAGACCACCTTCGGGACCACCCCTTCTACTCAAGAGCCGCTTTGGACGCCGTCGCGATCTACCTCAAGAGAGCCGACCGTCCCGCGACGAACGGCGTCAACGGTGACGCAAACGGCGACGATGCCTCTGAGAGAAAGAAGGCTGCGAAGAAGGCCAAGAAGGAGCAGCAGCGCCTGGAGAGGGAGGCAGCTGATCGCGCGGCAAAGCAAGATCCCAACAAGGGCAAGCCCGCCAGCGAAGAGCCCAAGAAGAAGGACGAAGACCCTCTCGGCCTGAAGCTTTTGGAAGCCGAGCCCCTGAGCGCGGCGATGCGATTCGTCGCCCCCCTTCTGCAATTCAGCCCGCAAAACATCAACGCTCAATTCGCCGGCTTTGATGTATACCTGCGCCGAAGTAAGTTTAACTATGGTATCTCTACCTCTTGAACAGTACTGACACATTTACAGAGAAGTACGTTCTCGCCCTGCGTTCCCTCAACGCTGCCCGCGAACTCGATGCATCGCACGCTGGAGTTCATGAGCGTGTTGTCGAGTTCGCTCATGTCGTGCGCCCGGCACTTGAGAGCTTGCCCGCGAAGGTGCAAGAACTTATTAAGTCCGAGTTTACTCCTCCTGCTGGCGACCTCAAGAAGTATAACGAGGAGTTCCTCTCGAATAACAAGACCAAACCCACCCATATCGTCGCCGCCCTCAAGACACGAAGAGTGCTTGGTGAGGACAGCACCAAGGCCGAGGCCGACCTTGCGAATGTCGTCAAGGCACCTGATGCCACTTTTGAGCTTGCCACCGAGGTGTATAACCTCTTGAAGGCGTGGAGGAGTAGCGAGGCCGAGACGCTCAAGAAGGAGGCGCACGCGAGGTGGCCGGAAGTAAGCCTCTTCGCCTAGGAGTGCAAGCCCTCATCTTTGTCGCCAATTCGGAGGATATGGAACCAGCTCAGGCGAAAATGAAGGCAGGTTGTCGGTTTCAGTATTGCGATTTATGCAATCAGATACCCGAGCAGTGGGAAGCGTTTCCAAACGGTCATGGGTGGATGTGTTTCCTCGGTGAGCGGGAAGCCAAGGCTGGGTAAAGGTCCGGGCAATGAACGCGTGCATCGTTGCGGCATGTGTCGAATCAAGGACATAGTTGCATCATCAAAAGTTGTGATAGAAGAGAAGGCTACAAAAAAGCGTACCGAGACTCTAGATTCCCTCTGAGGAGCAGCTTTTATTTCGTGATGCGTTCTGTGTTGAGGCCGTGATATTCCATACCTTGCTTCTGTTTGGTGTCTGTTGGCCCCTATTCCCCTTGCCGGAGTTTTCATAGTACGGTACCCTCAAGTTACACACAATCTACTGACTGAAGCTATTTGTAACGTCGACAAATGCACTCCACTGCTTCCAGGCCTCGCCGCTCTTAACAGCCCAGCGCGCCCTCCGCACACCCTCCTTCCAGCGTCCTCCACCAGGTCCCCTTTCGGTAATCACCTGGCCGTCGTCACCGGGGCCCATGTTGCTCGTCTCGGCCTCGCAGATACCCGACGTCACAAACAGCGTCGCGGCGTTCATCAGAACGAACTCGAGAATGGGATCGTCATCCGCCATCTCGCCCTCCAGTATCCTCCTCAGAATCTCGGCATTCTCAGCCGGCTCTTTACCGGGGGACACGGTGTTGAGAGGGTGCGTGCCTAGACCGAAATCACTCGGCTGTACCTTGAAGTGATCCGCCACGACCTCCCCGTCCGCCGCCTCGCTCAGCCTCCAGACCAGCGTCGGCCCGGCGCAGCTGACTTCGTCCAGCTCCTCCTCGCCGCAGATAATCATTGCCTTTTTAGAGCCGCTAATCTTGAGGGCCTCGAGGAAGACGGGGCCGAGCTCTTTTCTCGCTACGCCGATGACGCGGGCCTCGAGGATATCCTCGACGGGATTCGCTAGGGGTCCGAGGAGGTTGAATATTGTCCTCCAGGGGAGCTCTTTCCGGATGGGTGCTACGTAGCGCATGCCCGGGTGGAAGACGGGGGCGAAGAGGAAGCCGTAGTTTGTGGCGGCGTAGACTTTTGAGATTGTGGCCGGGGAGACGGCCATGAGGATGGGCGGGCGGGGTTGCATGTTGTTGACCAGATCCGCGGAGCCGGATTTGGAGGTGCTGGCACGGTTGCCGTGCTTGGCGACCAGCAGGAGGGAAGAGGCGAGGATGGAGGCGGTGGTGCTGATGTTGAAGGTGTTGTGGGCGTCG